TGGGACTCTTGGCTAGGAGTCTGGAATAGAACACAGGCTCTTAATGTTTTTAATTCACTTAGAATTTTTATGAGTGGATTAGAGTTGTAACGGATGATTTATTTGTAGTTTTTGTGACAAACACAATGCCACTGTTGATAATTAATTTAACCCTCCAAGTGTCCATAGTTTAGGCCTTAATGTCCACCTATTTTTGGCGCATTTGCAAGGTTTTATTAAAACGGATCTGAGAAGCATTAAAACAATGTTAATTCTAATGTTCTATATACCATTTTGTTTGGAAAATCATGGGCTTCAATATTATATATAAAACATAAGGAACATTTAAAAAAAAAAAAAAATTTTTAGGTAAAAAAAATATAATTTCGAAAATTTTCAAAAAAAAAATAAGTTCGCGCTCAATGAAATTGTATAAATTATAGGCCTATAAATATTTGAAAATAGCCACTTTGTTCTAAATTTTATGAGGATTACAAATATATAATAATAAGGAAGTAGATTTGCAAATAAATAAGTTATGGGCAAAAAACTGATTTCAGTACATAGCGTTTAGCCAAGAATGCATAGCCTAACCATAGCTAGGAATCTGGCTGATAATTTACATCAATATCACTACCTACTTCTTCAGGATCATCAACCAGCACTTCAAAACCACTTAAATCTTCTTATAATGCACCACGTATATCACTACTTTTGATTTTTAACACTAAAACAATGATAAACGTAATAAAACACATCAGTCATCGGTCCGAGGGTAACCTAGCTGTTTACAAATACACGCACGTCAGCAGCGTCAGCTGTCTGCTACAATATTTTCGGAACTAAAATGAATAGCGCTTAGAGACAGACCTCTGCAGAAAGCTTAGAATATTACGGAAAGAACGATACCTAACTCGATCCAGTTCAATCCGATTCAGTCAGTCATAGAGCCTTCGCCGTAAACGATGTCTGCGTGTCGAAAAATCGACAAGTAACACTACACAAAGTGTGCTGCTTGTCGAATTTTCGTCAAGTAACACTGGGAGGGTTAAACTTTTTCCAAATTACAATTTCTTTGTAAGTTCAATTAACATACAACTTTGAGGATTGTTACACTTTTTTTTCCTAGGACGCTAATCCAGAATTGTTTTTCACATTACTTTAGGCTAGACCCAGGGGTTGTGGCATTATATAACTTGGATAAAATCCATTGGTGGTTTGGCGGGATTTGAACCCACCAGGACCAAAGTCCCGCGCTCTGCCACTAGACCTTTCATACATTTGAGGTTGGATTCTTATTATCATACAATAAAAGTACCAACACAATAATATTGATACAACACACTGCACACCTGTGTTCCTCCAATCCTATACCTCATGTCTTAGTCACAATTCTAACAGAGGCCTGTGACTGAGTCAACGAGTATCATTTTTATTTCAGTTGTTTTTTTCTATAAAATGTTTTTAAATTATTTTCCAATCAATCCATAATCAAGACTTTACTGTACGCATTATTGGTGTATTTAACCAAGTAGACTATTAGTAGACTTACCCCTGACATTTGTGCTTGTTTGACCTTACAAGGGCCATAATGAACCTGTTTATTCCTCCTCCTTTATTATTATTCTCCTTTGTTTATTATTTATTTACTACATTATTTTTTTTAATTGTTACGGAAACAAAACTCACCCAAGGTGGAGCAGTTCGTGGATTTTTCAACAAATCTCGAATCTCAGCGCTCCAGTCAGGCCTATCTCCGTCTTTTTCTTGCCTGTACTAAAAATTTTACAGGATCAGTGTAACTTACATTTAAGGAAAAGGTAAATAAAACAATAAATATAGCATTAAATAATTTTTGATGTAGCTAACAACAACCTTTTAGATTTGAAAAATTTTGTTTCATAATAATAATCAATGCAATTTTAATTGTGGTAATGAATAATTTTTTCAACTTTTAAAATTTAATACCTATTAAAAATGTGTTAGGAGCCTAACAAACAATCCATTTTAGGAGTCCACCCCCACTCAACTAAATAATCCCTTTTCCCATAGAATGGTCATATCTGGTTTGCAGACTCATTTTAATATATTTTAAATTAAAATTTCAGTTAAATTGAAATTTCAAAGCTGTATAATTTTTTAGTTATCCTACCACATACATGGACAAAAATTTTAAAAACTTAAAATTGTGGTCTTCTGGGTAGCCAGAATAACAGTGGACTTAGCAAAGCCTTATAGTAATAGAGATTTCCCTGTGAGGAAATTACCCAAAATTGGAAATTATGTATAGTTATTGTCTACTATATGTTTCTATTGTAACAAAAACACTTTACTCCGAGATTTTCTTAGGACATCACATTTAGCAAAAAACACATTCATTTTACTCACAGCGTTCCACCATAATGGATCTTTAGGCTCTGGGGTGCGAGGTCTTCCTTCACTATCTATGGGATTCTCCTGTAAAATATTTTTAAATTAAAACAAAAAAAGTTACACAAATCAGTGAATGATTGTTTAAACCCAAGAGAGTATATTTCAAGAATGTTAGGTCAGGAAATTACAGAGAATCAGATAATCAGACCTGTTCCTCATAATATACATTATACATCATAATATTCATATTATAATATTCATTATACATTTTGTCTAACCATTTAACAAGAACAAACGGTTCAATGCAAAACAGCTGCTATCCAGTCGTATGTTGATGTTAGCTCATTCCACGGATATTAGAACAGAAAGCGGTGTGAATCATAAACATAAAGAAATTACGTAACTGGCCCCAAATTCTTTACTAATTAACATTAACATTATGGCTTAGACAGTTCCATTTAAGTAGGCTAAATAATGTTTACTTTCGGGCCAGTAATATAATTTGTTCATGTCTTTGATCCATATAGTTTCTTTTTTAGTATTCGTAGCTCATTCTATGTTTGCATACATGAACTGTGTCCTTCCTTACACCATACATTGTCTGTGATTGTAGTCTGGAGCTGATATGTTGGTCCATATCAATTTTGGTTACGATTGATTGTTTAAATGCTGACCTCAAAGAGTTTCTCTCTTGTTTAGGGTACATTTTACAAAACTTGCTAAATTTTTTGTAAACGTCGAAGAACAATCAAAAGCTTACAAATAGATAATAATTTTTAGTAAAATTAGTTTCAAAGCTGGTTAAATTATAACAAAAATTTAAAAACAAAACATACTCTACATAAATTGGACAGAAATTTAACGGTAGGGAAACCTTCAGACTCTTTTGAGGTTTACCCATAATTACACAGAATACTACTTCTCGTACAAATTCTACATTAGGATGAGAAGTATAGTATAGAATTGTTTCAGGAGTGAAAAACCAAACAAATAGATGCACATAATCAAAAGATGCTAGTGTGCATGCAAAAGCAGACAGAAGAACAGCTGGCAGTCTTAGTTTGGTGAGCACATTTTCCTAGCGCAGGGAAGGATGATATTGGTTTGTCATATCAAAATCATTTATCAACCATTGAATGGACCTATTACTTTAGATTGTTGGTTCATTTCTTCCTTACTGGTGTCAGCTGTGTAATAATCAATAGAGTGGCTCAGGAACAATATCTATCCTCCAAGCGCGTCGATAGGAAAAAGTGCTTATCTCCCAAGTGACTCAATGTTTGTGGTTTTTACTCAGGAAATTAATTGTACTTGCGCTATTCAATGTCAACAACACGATCAACATTTTATGTTACTTGCCGTTGTTTCCGGGGCGTAATTGAACTTGATTATTTCTTCTTCAATCATTTTATTGATTCTCATCTCGTTGCTGGTCCATGGCATATCTGTTGAAGGCTCTTTCTTAATGTAATGTGCAAGTTCTTCATCTGTGTCTTTACCCGCAAGGGCAGCTGAACTTAAGTAACAAACTAAAAAACACCATGTTTCCATCCTGTAATATTTCAAAAACTACCTCTAACCACTTTACAAAATCTACCTAACCCCTTTCATACACATTCCAGTATATTTAGGTACGTTATTTCCCCCACTTGAATAAATTACACATAAAATAACAAGTTTATCTCACAACCATCTTATCACTTGTGAATCTAATTACATTGTGACATTTGTAATTATTGTTTTAAATAGCTGTCAGGTTAATATGCTAAATTCTTTTGTGTCAAATCAATTAGGTTCAATAACTATAATTATTGTTTGCAATAGTCGCTGATTGATTCTACTACTTAACCCATTTAACTCTGATTAATCTTTTTATCTTATGTAAATTATGTTAGACTCATTTCAAATGTTGCAGGGTATAGCTTTTGATTGATAGAATTAGTAATTCCATCCCCAAAAAACTTATATAAAGTTGTAACTGGTTTATGATTCAAATGGATGTAAATTTGCACGTTAACTCAACTTTTTAGCCAAGCCAACTCCTACGAATTTAGGACAAGCTTAGTTTGGGAATGCGTCAAAGCCATCTGCAGGTTAGGGGTTGAGATCAATTAAGTCACAGTCTGCTGGTTTCCCAGACATTCTGGGTTTGATGGAAACAAAAAGGCAAATCAGTTCAAGTCAGGGAACAAACTGTCTATAGGACCCGAACCACAAACCATCTTGAAAAATCTGATATGTTATAATTCAAGAAAAGAAAAGAATTAAGTTATGTATTAGAAAATATTTTATTTGAAAAAGAACATGATATGGTAAAATTGATCAAGAATTTGTTTTGGAAAGATATTCACATAAAATATTCGCGTGTTTAGCACTGGAAGGGTGGTATGCCATGTACAAGGTGGCAGCGCTTTTGCAAAGTGCAAGAAATAACAGCCATAGCGGCTCGAAACAGCTGGTTACTTTACAAACACACAACCAGTCTGTCTACAGATAGTTAAAGAGAGAAAAGTGTCCTTGGAATATTACTATTGGTTAGTTAAACTTCAACAATTATAACCTTAAAAACTTTATTCAAAACTTTTGATATAGTAAAAAATTAACATATATAATTGTAAATTTACAATTTTACACTGTTGCACGTCAAAGACAAATTCTCACTGTAAACTGTTTTTTAAAGACAATTTTGTAATAGGAAAAACAAAGCTACAATTTGTTACATAGTTATAAGTTGAAATTATTGTCGAAAGACATTGAGAAGTATCTTATCTTATACTTATTGACAGCAATTATCATGGTATTCAATAAACATTACAAAAGACAGCTGATAAACAGCTCCTAAATTAAACCTGAAACTAATATTTCCTAAGTAGGAGCTTTGACTAAAAGTTGGTTGTGGTAGCAAGACTAACTACTTATTCTATACTGTCAGACTATAAGTTAATTAAACAATGTCACTAAACAATGTTTAACATAAGTGTTAAATCTGAATCTGAAGCACAAACTATGTGTTGTAAAAACATTTTCAAAATTTGAAAGAAAAATTTGATTACGGTTGACCAGTCTTGACTAAAAATCGCCAACTCAATCATAAACATTGAAATGTATTGATTTTCATATATATTTTCTAGCCCCAGCTGCAGATGTTAACACATTAATTTAAAACATATTACAATCCATTATAGAGTTTTGATTTTGAAAAAAATGTGTCTATTTCTAGCCTATAGCTCTCATACTAGGAGTAGAGTGTAATATTGGGTCCATTTGTTCTGGTGAGTTCTCAATTTTTTTTCTCCAATTTTTCTAGTGAATCATCTGAAACATTAAACGCTGTATTGAAAAATTTAAAAAAGTAGTAAATAATTCTAAAACTTGAACACCCAATTCTGTTTTTTAATTCTTGAGAAAAGGCATTTTGTTTCTAAAAAAGTATTGTTTACTTAACACTTTATTAATTAGAATTGAAAAAAAATTATGAGTCCACAACACTTTAAGAAGAGATAAAAATATGTAGTAAACAACCTGCAATGACCAATAAAAACCGTTATTTACTAACTATTTAAATAAACATGTTTTCCTACAGCATGAACATTTTATGAAACAAAATAAATTCTGTACAATTTTGTGACTAATTAACTGACAAATTATTCCCAGGTGTCCAAAAAGTAAATTATAGATGTTTATGCATCTATTAAAGAAAGAATTTATGATGTAACTATTTGGAATTACAATTATCGTAGTATCCTGTGGCTAGTGCTGGTCCTTGTACTGTCGCCATTCACTGTTTTGGTCGATAGACCTCGCATATACAATTGTTCTTTTTTCAATACTAAGTCGTAAAAAACTAACAATACATGAAAAATTATGTATAATCAAACCCCCACCCCCAACCACCAAACTGTTCCTTGCTATGTAACAACGCCTGCCAAGTAGGCGACTCCGTAGGGGGTGCAACGTCCTCAATATTCATCATCTGAGCCCCCTGAACTGCAATCCCATCATTATCTTCTAAGACAATGTTTCTAAAAATTTCCCTACCACCTTTAAATTTCACTAAATATAATTGAGAAACCTACAACACACTGCTCTCAAGGCACTGACACAGCAAGAAACAGAAATGGCCAAATACGAGTCACATTAAAATGAAGTACGAAACCGTCACTACACACAGAGACAGCAACAATGTTCTACATCGAATGCTGAGCTCACATTGAGGTTTGACAAAACTACTGCATGACATCACAAGACTTACCTTATCCTCGTCTAGGCCTTCCCTTTCCCCTCAGTGGATGTAACCTTCTCATCCTCAAAGGTGGATCTTCTCCCATCCGGCTCCCTCCGATATTGGAAGAGCTGGGACATTCGCAATCATAAATAACAACATTGAGCTTAGTAAAGAAATAACAAAGAATTATTTGCTGCCATATATACAGTAAAGCTACACTGACTATTCCTACTTTCTGACATAGGTAGGCTACTTGCAATTCACAAACATCCAAATGTTTACGTTTATTATATTTAGTAAGATAATAATAAATCTCTCAAACAACAGGTGGACATTAACAATCCAAACAATCCAGATTGGTCATAACAAGACAAGGTTTTGGACCGTTCCCAATAAATGTAAAAAATGCCAAAATACAATAGACTTTAAACTCACCTACTATGAGCCCCGGGGCCTGTGATGTAGTCAGTGTTGCCACTATCCAACCTTAACCCTCTTCTAACTCTCGTCTGTCGCTCCAACAGATCCTCTACCTCAACAGACCGCTTGGCTCTCCGGAAATTCTTCTGTTTGGGGAGAACAACATGAAAACATGAAATAAAAACAATCGGAACAACAACACTTACATTACGGAACAACAGCCATAACTTGAATGATGGGAGATCGAATAAAATAATATTTTCTCGGTAAAGACATAGCATTCCATCTAGTACAAAGCCACTGCAAGACAAAAGTGGCAACCCCGCAGTTTGCCATTCTGGAAAAAACTGTTGCACTAATTTATAATGAAGTGTACGAACAATGTTTTTGTTTGCGAATTTGTTATTCCTGTTATTACCAGGGCAATAGCCACCCTTGTGCAACGTTGCCACACATCAACGGCATCAGTTAGTCAAACTTCAACAAGTGGAATGACATAAACAAACAAAAAATGTTGGAAGTTTAACTAAAAATAAATGGTATTAGCAAACAGACGCATACTTCTCTCACACAAGCTTGTTATAAAAAAAATTGTTTTTCATGGGGAAATAAGTTTTTTTTTGTTATTTGATGGGTTTTTATATCAAAACTATTGTTAAATACCCCCGCCCCAGCAAACCTGCAGACTAAGTGGATTTTCTCGTGATTATTTAAATTTTACTCAAATATTTTATTTCAAAACTTCATTAGGTTTAACTAGTGGGCCTACTTTGATTAGCTGTGATAGGAAAGTAAACAAGTATTTTTATAACGTTCAAAAGTATAGTATGAAATAAATGGATTTGCAAAATATGATGGAAATATATTCACAAAGAAGTAAACTACAGCAGTTTACTTTTCACCATAAGAATAACATTGGGAATTTTAGTGAAGAGTTTTTTGTTTTTTTTTCTCCGTAAACCTACAAAAACAACACTTCAAAATACAAAATTGAAAATAATTATAATGTTTTTTCATCCCTACCACGATGATTTTGATTAAAATTAGGCATTGCTATGTTCTAAAGGTAAAATCTTAAAAAAATTATTTTTTGGAAAATTTTAAAACCCCATAACACCTTTCTTAGCGTGTTCACAGACACATATATTTAACAAACAGGTTTTATTACCACTGGGGACATTAAAATGGAAAAATAAATCGGACCGGGGTCCAGGTCTTACTGTGCCCCCTACGAAAATAGCTTATTCCCTACAGGGGAAATCAGTTCAATTCAAAATTTATTTTAAAAAACCCACCTCTGTTTCATAACAAAATACAACCCAATATAAGTCTAGTAATTTGTAAAACTTCTGTTTCATAACATAAAAATACTACAGTAATTTACAAGTTACAAGTTATAAATTAAAAAATATTAGTAAATTATTACAATTTTACAAGTCTTTTGTTTCATAACCTTTACTAATATTATTATTTAAGGGCAAAATATTAGTAAACATTAATATTATTATTACAAAGTTTTTTTACTGAAGTAATTGAAGCTAATTGAAGTAATTTTGAAGCTTTCCAGTACAGTAATTGAAGGTTATGTTAGTTTTTTTCTCAAGCTAATAGATTGTGTTGATAATTGAGGTGATCTCATTATTTGATTTGGACGATGAGGAAGCAAGAGTTTTTTTTCTCCTTATCTTTTTTTTCTTTTCATCTTTTGAGGACATACAAATTTCACTAGAAGATTCGCCGTAATTTGCAAAATGTAATAAAATAATAAATTAAGCATTGAAAAGCCAATTATAGGCCTATTTCACTACATAATAATTAATTATACACATAGTTTTATGCTGATGATAAATTCCATTTTTTTAAACTGAATATATTTGAAGACGTAATTTAAGAACTCGTAAAGAAAAAAGAGGTTTTGAACAAAAGCATCATTAAAAAAATTGAGACAATAACAAAATGTATAGCCATTAAAAACTGTTTACGATAATGATAACCGTAACTGCTGTGTGTAATCTATGATGACTGTTGTCAAGATCCAACTTTAGCTTCCTACACTCAAGTTAATTTATTCTTGTGTATTTGGATATTTATTCATTTTAATTTTGTAACTTTTTCTCCTTAAATTTAATTTTCATTACTTGACTTAGGATTGTTTATTATAAACATTGGTTTTGAGTCAGCTAACTAATAATTTGTAATATTTAATAATTGTAAAATTCAGCTAGTTTTATTAACAATAATAGTTTTTTATGAAACGCTAATATTATTAATTAGTAGTTTGTAACTTGTAACTTGTATTTTTTTACTAATAATATTAGTACAGTCCAACCTCAGTATAACGAATCTGAAGGGACCGAACTGAATATTCGTTATATCAAGGATTTCGTGAAAATGAGGTTCGTTATATAGAGGTTAGGTTTGCAGGAATTTCGCTAAGTCGAGGTTCAGAACCAGTGTCGGTCAATATAGGCCGGGATTTGACCTCATTAAAACACAATTAAAGTAGCATAGGCTACAATACTTTACAGTACAGTGTTCATTGTGCAGTAGAACCTTCTGTATCCAATAGTCAATGGTAGAACCTAAATTATCCGGCATAATAAAGGTGAGGGATCTTGAATATTGCGCAATCATGACAATGGCATTTGCCTTGGTACAGGTTAAAAACTTTAAGTTTAAAATCACAGCTTGTTCTAACCCTCCTAAAGACTAGTCAAACACTACATTGCGTAGTCATAAACCATGTAAAGAACAAAACAAAACAGTAGAAAGTTGTGTAAGCTACTGCTCGCGATAGGCCAGTACGCTACCGTAGGCTACAGTACTGATTTATCATAACAGAGGAATGTCAATAATAATCATTAACTATAGCATTGGTGTTGCTAGTTGAAACAAATCGTATTGAAAACAATAAATTATTAGATAAGTCATTATAAAAGTGCATATTCATAGCCAACTTTAAGATAATAAAAACACTCGTAAATTAAGGAATATTAAAATAACGATGTTGCTATTCTTTCTCTTTGCTTTTGTTTTTATATTCTTTCTTAGATTTCTCTTTATCCAAAAATTGTACAATTCACCATATTTACTTATCACCCAATCACAGCTTACTACAGATTACGTCGTCATCAGTCCTCAGTGAATGAAATCAGTTCTCAGTTGCAACATTGCGTGCGCAGCGACAGCAGACAGAGAGATGTGTAAAACGGAGCAGACGAATGTTAGCGCAAGCGATGACGTCACCTTTCCATTTCATTTTATAAAGAAACAGATTTTTCAAAAACAATACTGGGGTGGGGGATTTGTTATATCAAGGGAAAGACGTAGACGATTCGTTATGCAGAGGTTAAATTCGCAATGTAGAGGTTCTGAGAATGATAAATTCGTTATATTGAGGTGTCTTATTTTAGCCGAAATCACGAAAAATTCGTTAAATCAAGGTCATTGTTATGGTTTGTTCGTTATGTAGAGGTAAAATATACATAGTCTCTTATGGAGAGTTCTAGGGGATTAAAAAAAATTCGTTATATCAAGGAATTCGTTATATTGAGGTTCGTTATATCAAGGTTAGACTGTATTGTTATGAAACGGGCTTCAGGAGGTAGCATTGATTAGACCCACATACCAAATTTCAATTTTATAAAAATAGAACCACAGGTCTAGTCTGTAGCTGTACACTTACATACACAATTTTCATGTCAAGCTAATGGGAGAGAGTATTTGTGTCACTTAGTGGCTCATACCATTTATTTATTATTGGTTTTTTCTTAATAATAATAATAATAATAATAAATCTTTATTTGTCGTAAAAATACAAAAGTATCATTGACAAAGTCATAAGATGCAGTGCAACTGCCAGGTCATACAATATTTATTCACTTTTAAAACTATCTTAAAGGTAATAGCCCAATATTGAAGAGAGAAATATATATATACATATTGAAAAATGTACATAACAAGTTAAAAAGGTACAATCACAAATTAAAAACAGCAACTTCTAAAATGATAAAATGTCAAAAAATACTACACCTAAAACTGGACATCTTCACAACTGAAAAAATCTTCCAGTTTATAAAAGGGGTGTCCCAACAACCATAAGTAAAGCTTATTTTTAAATTCTTTTAATGGCCTATTTGCAATTAGCTTTTGAAAAACATTGTATATTTTTATAGATAAAATTATGTGGCTACTTGAGGTTGTATTTAAATGATGTGTTTCTAAAGCAGCATTATTTTTGTTTCGTGTATTATACCTGTGGTTGCCAAATTTCAGATGGTTATGTATCCCAAGGTTGTACATCATAATATCATATATATATAAATTAACAACAGTCTGAATCTCCCATTCTATGAACAATTGTTTACAGTGCTCATTCCGATTAGATCTATTCATTATTCTTAAAGCTTTATTTTGTAATTTCAAAATTTTTTTAATTCTCCTGCATCCCCCCCAGAATATCAACCCATATCTTATAATGGATTGAAAGTAAGCAAAGTATTATTTTATTATAATTATGTCATTTAACAACCCTTTAGTATAATATTGTTATGTAAAAATCGTTTTATGACACAAACCCAGTGTTTTAAACTTAAATAAAACTGTAGTGATATGGTAATCAGCTTACCGCTCCATTGCCGAACCTAAAGCCTCCCCTCCCCCTTCCTCTTCCCCGTCCACGTCCTCTCTCCCCTCTGGGTGCAAACCCTCCCTTCTTTCTCCTGCCAATACCACCTCCGATGGTCTCCCCTCGGTCGTAAGCTTCCTTCTCTGCGTCCCGGATAGCTTCTCTAGCTGCTGCTCTCAGGGCTTCTTTCGCTGTCATGCCAACTGGTTTCTGTAAACAAATGAATCTACAATTGATATTTTAACTTATATTAGCAGCACACTCCTACACTCCTAAACCTTAACCTTAAATGTTTTAGTCAAAAGATAATTTTTTCCGATTGAAAATATGGTTTTACTCTCAACAAATCCACATGAAGTTTCGTTTCAATTCAATTCAACCAAGTAGAGTACTAAGCAATTCAACGAAACAAGAGTACCTGAATTTAAACATATAAATTTTCACACCAATGCATCTGCTCTGTTTTTGCATTTAAAGAGTTTGTTTTTTAATTCTTTACTGAGATTTGGTTTTTAAAAACATGAAACATTAAGTTATGAGATTTGGAGGTAACTTATTGCAACTAAATAAATATTGTAGGAGAAAATAATCGCTTTTGTCCAATTTGTTGCTTTTATTACTAAAAAAACTATTATCAGCAATAAAATTCTCCCTAGGCCAAAAATTGTTAAAGCAACTGAGGTTTAGTAGATGTTGTGATTATAAACGTCTAAAACTGCCATGGAAAAGACCACTTGCTATAGGATATGAATTAATTCATAACAAACGTACTAGTTATTACTATGCAACATTTTACAATACTCTGTTTACAATCAACTTTGACAACAGTGACAAGGATGGCCTTAAAATAACTTTAGTCTTACCCAATTGGTAAGCCAAAGTTTGACCTCTATGTTACATTGACTCTTAAAGCTGGACAATTTAACCATGCGTTACAATAAAGGTGGTCCCTGGTGTTGAAGAGGGAAGTATTGCAGATGTACTAGAGATTAAGACAGAAATCAACCAAGGGGAACCAATCTGTATGAGACTGCCAAAAAAGATGGTGCATCACTTTATTATTTATGGTAATTTAAAAGGTAAGATGTTTTTTTTTCGGTATAGAAAAGAATCAAAACTCAGATTGGTACAATCAGTTCAAACATCTGAGCCCAAAAAACGTCCTTAACAAAACAATACCTTATTTTGAGATAAGCCTAGTTGATTTGCTAAATGACTCACCGCTTGTGGCTTGGCTCTCATAAACTCCTCCATCATTTTGTTGACCGTCTCTTCTGGGACGGTAGTCACCACTTCAAAATCCTCCAGTTCTAAGGGCGGTAGAGTCATCGGTCTCTTCATTTTAATCTTTTTCACAGTCACTGATGGCTTGTCTACACTAGCCCCTGTTGCTGATGGTATGTCTACACCAGTCCCCATTGCTGATGGCATGTCTAAACCAGCCCCTGTTGCTGATGGCATGTCTAAACCAGCCCCTGTTGCTGATGGCATGTCTACACCAGCCCCCATAGCTGATGGCATGTCTACACCAGCCCCCGTAGCTGATGGCATGTCAACACCAGCCCCCATTGCTAATGGCATGTCTACACCAGCCCCCGTTGCTGATGGCATGTCTACACCAGCCTCCGTAACAGCGGCTGCCACTTCTGTTACAATATCTCTCACCACCGATGCTGTTGGTGCGGCTTCCATCGCTGCTACAATAGGAGCAGTTTTTGTTGCAACCTCGAAGAGCTTTTTAAGATCTTGCATGTTCATGATACGGCCTTTGCGAGTGATCTGGAAACCAGAAATAATACATGAAGTTAATGCTATTATAAATAGTTCCAAAAACGGTAGTAACTTCATTTTAATTGTGAATCAAATCTGTAATTTTAAGGTAATCTCTGGTCAAGAGTCCTATTATTATTTTTATTATTAAATGTGTTAAAAATCTGACAATTTTGATATTCTTCTACAACAGCACAACAATTGAAAAAATATCCACAAAGGGTAATTTTTATTAGTCTCAAAAATACAAACTTGAAAGTAAATATTTTAATAGTTCTTGATTTATAAAAATGTATGACACATTCTCGTAGATTTAAATAAGTATTGAAATGGGCATCTGACAATGAGTATTTAAATTATTCATGTTACATATAATTTTTCATTGTATCCATTTTACCAAATCACAAACAAATTAATTGTAGATCTTTAATCAGTTTTCTTACCAGAAACATAACACCATGCTTCAAGAATGAAATAGTTATTAAAAAATTGTTATTTTGTGTCCTTGCTTAAACTATCCTCTCAGTTAGAAGTTTCCACTTTTTTACCATTTGTGATCGGAAAGACTATTTATTGCACAAATGGTCAGCTGTACTCGCCAAGGTCTCAAACATTTCTCATCAATTTTGTTATCTCTGCCACTCACAGTTACTGGCCAAAACTTGAAAGCCCAATACAACAGGCCATAATCACAGGTTTATTCAACATTTTTTTTGTTTTAATGTCTAAAGGGTGAGACTTATACTCAATTTCACGTTCACCGTACAGTACAGAAGTCTTAGGGAAGATAGTTGCTGAGGCGTAGCAAGGGGAGTCAATAGGCTCAGGTGCCAGCCAGGAAGGGGGGTTGACAACATAAAAAAAAGATATTCCACAAAAACATTTTTTACGGTTAAAAGGAACACCAAGCCAAGAAGATTCTGCAACTGATTGTTTGCCCCCAAAAAAAAACTAAGTATGGCGTTTTTAAATAGGATGGACAACACAAAATTACACTTTACTTGGGTCTTCAATACTTACCAAGTTTCCATGGTAATCATGATCATGGGATATGTGGTCTCCGAGGCCATATGTCTGAAAAAGTAGTTTCAAACGATCAGGTCCAAAATCCAAACCATAAAATTAAACAAAGGAAGGGCTAAAAAATAATTTTTAAAAGGAATTATATCAATAATATTTTTCGTTGAGGTTTTATATACAGTAGACTCCCTCTTCTTCGGACACCTTTTAACCGGACATCGGTTTAACCGGACTACACTCGGTGGAAATGACATCTCTTTAACCGGACAATTGTTATCAGCACATCGGTTTAACCGGACTAGATCAGCAGGAAGTGGGCGGTACTGAAACAACCGGATTTGAAACCAGTGATCACGTGTCTAAATACATTGCTCTCGTAATTTAAGTCAAATACTGTGTACAGTATGCATTTAAACGGTCCGTTTTTGGGGACGTTGGTTTAACCGGAAACACCGTTATACGGACTGGCCTCGGTCCCGACGAGGCCGGATAAGAAAGAGTCTACTGTACTATCTTTTTCAATAAATTAAGTTTTGATTATTATTTTTTATTAAAAAAAGTGTTAACTAAGTTATAGTTAAATATAAGAGGGTCATCCATAAAGTAACAGAGGATTCATATAGGTGCCGCTTGGAGCAGTGTCCATCTGATCATCAAAGCGCCTACAATCAGTCCGCATTCAGCTACGGCAATGTGCACATCATATCTCTTGTACTCTGTCTGCTGTATTAAAATAAGTGCTGTCATTGCAAATCCTGACAGTTGTAAGGTGCTCTATGTGATAATATTTTTTGCAAAAATCACAAGCCTATTGAAATAAATTGCCAGATTTGTGATGTTTAGGGCAAAGGAGTGATGATTGAAGCATGTGTGAGAACTTGACCTTCTACAGAGCTCCGCTCCTTGCACAATTTTTATTTTAGCTGTGGTTTTTTGATACAGATGAAATGAGAGTTAAAAAATGAAAAATTATAAAATTAATTTCTCACTAACCAAACTTGCTGATAATGAAAAAAAATCAAATGAAGGTTTAATAATTCAAAAAATAATTCTGTTCATAAAATGAAATTATAAATGCCTCAAATTCTAACAAAAGATATACAGTTAAGAAGAGGTCACATTCTAAGCAAAATCTTTGACAAAAAGTTAGTGTCACTCGTAGGATTTGATCTGGTTACCTCTTGGACATAAGCCGATACTCTAACTACTGGAGTATTGTTGCGGTAATGGTGTTCCCTCAAGAGAAGAGAGTGACGTCACGCCATGACAGCCAATAGAATACTCTCCAAGTCTATGCACATGAGTGAGTTGAGGAGCGGAGCTCTGTAGAAGGTCTAGTTGTGTGAGACAGTGGTGCACAACTTTTTTTTTGTTAAAACTTCAAGTTCAAACGAAAATGATCACGATGAGGAGCGCAGTGGTAGGTCTAGTCTATTGAATAGTGAAGTGGTAGGAAAAGTCAGTTAATTAAAAACTTTAAACATCACATTCATGAGTCGTGGATTGTTTTAACAATATTTCACAGTATTTTATTCATGACATTTGTAAAAAAAAAACTTAATAGAGCACAAATTTTTTGGCCGGTGGGTTCCCAAGATCTTAACCACAAAAAACAGAGACTCGCTTCACAGCATTCCAGGGAGAATACTACAACCAAAGTGGAAAACAAATGTTGAACCATATTTTAAATCAATGCACCACTGTCTAACTCGGTCTTCACTCATTACTCCTTTGCCATAAACATCACAGATCTGGGGATGAATTCAAATAAGCTTGTGGACTGTCACAAAAAATGTTTATTAGAAACTCCTCCCCACAACAGAAGGGAAAGTGCGATGGCATCGCTCATTTCAACACTCAACTGCAGATCGCGTACAAGACTTATAGGTACGCATGCTACTGTAACTGATTGTATACTGAATGTAGAAACTAGGAACGCTTGCTAGTAAGATGGCGCCGAGAGTACGAGCCAACAGTTAGCCACCAAACCTCTCTAACAGAAAGGTTCTTAATATAATCAATGCAGATTCAAGCAAATAAATTGCTAGTGTAATTACATTTTATATTCTTGAACGTTGTGACAAAATTATTTAACAACCAAGCTTTCAGATATACCGATCAAATTATACAACTAAGTGCATAAAAGCCTTGTTTTATCACCTGACTGACTCCATGACTAACTCAACAATGGTGCAATCAGTTTGTCTTGGCATGTTCAACAAATCAGTAATTTACAACAGCACACTTTGTTGGTCGCTCAATTAACGTACATACATTTTCATTATAAAACTGGTGTTAACTTTAACACGGGGATGGAAAATTCTATCAATAAAAGGTAGAACTTTACTGGTTCATCATTCACCTTATAAGTGCCTGAGGGGATGTATCCCAGAGATTGTCGGTCAAAGCGTTCCCGGTCGAACCTTCTAAAGGATCGGCGCTGGTAAGTAGCGTTCCTAATGGCCATCTGAAGCTGCAATAAAACAATTGAACTTGTTTAATCAAATAAAATAATCTTATAGGGTAAAGGCAGTACAAACAAAGTATGATATATAAAAAGTAGTGTTCATATAATTCAAATCTCACCGTTCCTCAAATCAGCTAAATACAAAAAGGAATACGGTAAGAATAAATAGTTTTTAAAATATTCTGAGGTTTGGAAAGTGAAAGTACAGAATATTTTATTGTTCTGTAGTGACCTTCCACTCTAGGACTATTTACTAACTATTATCATTCTAAAAACTAACAAGCAAATAGGATTAAAATATAGGATTCCTGGACAATGAGTCTGAATCTTTATCATTTATCCATCTTTATTAATTGGCAATAAGTAAAGAAGCTTGTTACTCTTTTTTACCTCTAAATTATTCACAACAGTAATTTGGACTGTGCCAACATAATATTCAAGCTTTCAAAATACAGAAGTTACAAATGAAAAATTGTAAGAAATTGGAAAGGAAAATGCTTTTTGACATACAAATCAGAATCACCAAGACAGTCAATCATTAAGACAGTCAAAACTCACCCTTGGAGGGAAGGTGTACGATCTGGTAGGACGGGAAAAGTTGTACACTGACTGAAAAAAACAATTTTTGTTAGTATAAAAATCACTTGCAGCACTATAATAAAATTGGTCAGAATTAGAAATAGAATAATTAATATGAAACACCTATAGTCCTCGCCACCCTAAGTTGAGGCAGCCAAAGGCCGCACTAGATATACGCCGTGCGGCCTTGGGCTGCCTCAACTTAGGGTGGCGAGGACTATAGGTATCCACAGAGATGTAAGGTACAGAGGAAACGTTCAAAGGTACACTTACTGTCGGGGAAAAAAGTTTAGACACTCGAGTTTGGAGCTCTACAGAAAAGTAACCAACTAACTTAGAAAAACACGTAGTATATAAATTTTCGTTGTTTTATTCTACGTATTCCTGTGAAAACAAAAACTGTTTAGCTCGTTTAAGAAATTGTTTATGACAGTCGGAAGGTAAAAACTGCCTGTTTTTAGAGTACCAAAAACCATCTTATGACTTTGAAAATTCGCACAATGTAAACTAAACGTCAGAACTTTATCAAACTTTAATACAATATGGACACATATATAATGAATTAATATGTGTAGTTTCAGAATATTTACTCTACCCAAAAAGTTTTTGTTGTAACTTTTGTAAATCAACTTTTTCTCAAAAACAGCAAACGCTGGACAAAAATTTAAAAGCTTGTTTTGGAGGTGATTGGTTTTGTATTTGAAATATTGCTCAACCAAATTGTTACGCATATTATTTATATAAGTTAACATTTAATTTGGATAGTGCATAGGCCGAATACGGCACTTCCAGACCGCCACCGGCTCTGACTGGGCGCATACCCCGTACAGTGTTGCCAAATTGAACACCTGGACACTGAGCAGCGATGGGCTGCAAACTGTTGAGTCAAACTTGAACAGCAGTTATTATTAATTATTAACCATTTCCCATCACCTTTTCCAATGAGGGCTTTAGACCTCCAACGTCACTCCCACACTTCTAAAAAAAAACATATAGCACTGACAATCATTGCATATTCCGAATCTGACAATTTAGATTTAGCACCTATATTTGGGGTGGTAATACTTTCGACCCTTTGGAAGAATGCAAAACATGATATTTCCTGTGAGTCAGTCAGTGACACACACTGCGTGAATCACCTTACGCTCGGTCGAGGTCCATCGTGGCAACACTGCACTGGATTCCTGAGCGGGCGATGGCGTCTGCACCCCTTGCAGGCGCGAGATCATCCAGTTTTTTGTTAATTTATATAAATAACATGCGTAACAATTTGGTTGAGCAGTATAAATATTTCAAATACAAAAACAATCACCTTCAAAACAATCTTTTAATTTTTTTTCTAGCGTTTGCCGTTTTTGAGAAAAAGTTACAACAAAAACTTTTAGGGCAGAGTAAAAATTCTGAAACTACACATATTAATTCATTATATATGTGTCCATATTGTATTAAAGTTTGATAAAGTTCTGCCGTTTAGTTTACATTGTGCGAATTTTCAAAGTCATAAGATGGTCTTTGGTACTCTAAAAACAGGCAGTTTTTACCTTCAGACTGTCATAAAAAATTTCTTAAACGAGCTAAAAAATTTTTGTTTTCACAGGAATACGTAGAATAAAACAACAAAAATTTATATGTACTACGTGTTTTTCTAAGTTAGTTGGTTACGGAGATGTATTTTTTTATTTATTTTTTAATCTGTATTTTATATTTTAATAATTGTAATCTTTGACACTATTCAAGTGCTGTATTATGTACTTCTCAATGAATAAAGAAATTGAAATTGAAAGTATATTTCCGGCACAACATACCACAGCTGAAAGCGCATAGGCGCCCCCATAAGTTGGGCGTTTCCTCTGTACCTTACTTCTCTGTGCAGAATCTTAGGTATGTAAATTTATGATATGTAAAAGAATATGGATAAAGGAGAAAATTTTAATGTTGAAATAAAATTACATTTTTAAAACTCCAAAAATCATGGAACATCTACTTTATAACCCAATTCTGTACATGGGAAACTCAAATAAGCAAAAACCTAATATATTACAAAGAATCAAGAATCATAACCTGTAAATGTAAGAAAAGTGTTGTTAGATTTTTAGCTTTTATCTATTTGTTATATATCAATTTAAAAATTAAAATTGTATCTTGTTCGACTAACATGGTGTTTTGTATACGTGTTAAAAGTCAATTTTGTATATATACATCTTTTATTTGGTGCCTTGAATTTGAAAATGTACTGCTAAATCTCATTAGTTTTTTTTTTTAAAGTTCAATAAAATGATTCCTAGTGTCCTGTTCCTCTCTCATCATTTTCAAAACAATTTGAATAATTCCATCAATCATTATGTTATATCGAGATAGGTATCTTTGCTAATTTTTTCAAAGTTTCTTTTCATTTAAAAATGTTTTATCTACCCCTAGGAATATTTATTAATCTGTTAAATGTTAATGTATGGATGGGATTTCTTTCCTGCCTTAGATAATTTACGTTTGCTGAAACAATTAAGATATTTTAGGTAAGCTTTCTAAAAATCTTAGATTTATGTTTTTATTCTCCTTTTTAAGGTCAGATCTAAAACAGTGATTGTTCTGTTTCTAGTAGTACCAACCCTACATTATTATTATTTCATACTATATTACATTTGCATTTAGTTTTTATACCTATATAGTGTTACACAAATACAGAAGATATAGAAATTCAGAACAGGATAAATGCAACAAATTGGTAAGTTTGGCAAAGTTGGTATGAATGTGGAAAACTAAGTAAATCAAAGTTGTTATCTAGGAAAACAAAACTCTAGAAATCAATAAACCAGTACTTTTATATCGAGGGGGAAATTGGGGCCTGAGAAAAAACATGGAAAATAAGATTAGGCCTTTGAGAATAGTTTTAAGAGCTATATGGTCCAGTATGTGAAGATGGAGTATGGAGAATCCGCCACAACCAAGAGTTAAGAGAATCATTCCGATACCCCAAATTTGTAGGAGAGGCCAAAAGCAGAAGGCTAAGGTGGGTTGGCCATATCTTGAGGAGAAATAAGGAGAGCTTGTTGAAGAAGAAGGTACTAAGGGGAGATCCGAGGGGAAGGAGACCAGTAGGAAGACCAAAAGCTAGGTGGTGGGATCAAGTACCGAAGGATATGGAAAAGATGAGACTAGTAGAGGAAGATTTGGAGGACCGAGAGAACTTTCAACAACGTGTTGGCAAGGCTAAGTATCAGCTTGGGTACAAGTGGCCATGGCAGTAAGTAAGTAAGTATAGTGTTACAAATTATAACAACAGCCTCATTTTTCAGATTAGTATTTATTAACGACATACCCTGATAACCTTCACAATTCATGCAAACCTAAAAGATTGCAAAAAAAATTGACCGCGGCGCCCCTTTATTGTAAGTTACAATCTCACAACTAAATTACTAACACTATGACTTTATATACTCACTTTTCCTCCAAAATCCACTCTTTTGTATGGCTTAAACTGTCCAAAATCCTAAAAATTAAAAAAAATCAGCCACATTTCATACTTGTATTGCACAATCATTACAAAACTGCGAACCCCAACTAACCTGAACCTGAACTGTGAACCTTTGTATATCTAAAGGAATGTCTCAGTCAGATTAATAGAAATAGGTTTTTAAATCTTGATTCATTAGATACTGTAAAATAAACATGTTTAACCAATGAATGTGAACATCATTTTGGTAAAGTGCACTATCAAATAGAATGTAAACAATTTAAGTAAAAAATTAAGTATAGTTATCGACCCCATCGGTAAAAAATAACCTACCATACTTGAATAATTATAAATAACTTTCTCAAACTCGATCAAATCACCTCAGGTCTTTATTTTACACTCCTCTAAGCCAGTATCCAGTAAGCAGACTAATTTTCAACAAATTTGCTGTTAAGTGGAAGGTCAAAGTTATTTCTGCAATTTTGTCTGAACGTTTTCTTCAATTTCCTAGAAAACTTTCTAATCACTTCACTAATGCAATTTGTTGTATCTTTGCAACAGTTTGCATCAGCAATGTGGAGTTAGTTCAATAGATCAGTACTGTGAGCGCTAATATCTGATTTACTAACAAGCCTATCCACACCCATACCACCAATTGGCACTATAAATCAGCAATCTTCTTTTTCTTTGCTGCTTCCTCTATCCGAGTCTATTAATGCTAGTTGAAGTAATTGGTTGTTGTTAAGGGAGGTTTGACTATTGGATACTGAAGTAGACACCCCATCTATATGGACCAGCTGTCGCCAATTTTGTATAAATAAATAACATCTTTATTAACCAGCGTACATCAGATCATAGATCTGTTTTACTTGAACACTTTTGTCAATATAACTTATAATAAAAGTAAAGTAAAAAAACATGTTCCTTAGAAAATAAGACTACAGAAAAATATATGTATTTTATAAAAGCACCTAGTTGTGTGAGCCAGTCACAGAATGCACTAGTATCTAAACTTCCATTTTCTAACTTATTTTTGGTTGCTGTCATAGCAGTTGCTATAGCTCACAATAAGTTGTTTTATCAATTTAATTAAAACACTTATGTATTCAACAGAAGTCAGTTATTTGCAACGGCACAATCAACTACGGTGGATCACATCAACAATGACAATCTTGATTTTAAAACTTGCAACAAGTTTAACATGGGGATGGGATGTCTAGTTGTATTCAGAGTCAAAGGTTTGGCTTATTTAACTTGGATTTGTTACAGCTTTGTATACAATTTGTTACACTTTTCAAAAAGTTGCTACAATTTTACTTTGATATGTACACTAGTGCTTCATGTTGTAAGATTATTCTATGTAAAACTTACCCCCAGCACAGGAGGCTTATCAGCGCCGTACCTCCCAAAACTTCCAAAGGGCTGAAAATATACAACCAAATAAATAAGAACAAAAATGATTTTTTTAATGTTCGGTAAAACTTGAAGTTAACAATATACACATAATAATATAGTAATATATTTTTGACATATTGATTGAAAAGGTCAATTATTTATAAGATATTAAGTTTGATCCCCAAGGTAAAAACATTACTAAGTTGGGTGCGGTGCTTGCACAAAAATAAGTCTAATTCTTCAGATTGATAAATCAGTTGTAAAAAATGTATGAAATTAAATTAAATTACAGACAAATTTCTAAGGAAAGTTTGTATATATACCCTAACTCCTTACACAAATAAATCAGTCAAATTTGTCAGATTAATAAATCAGTAGTAAAAAATGAACGAAATGGAATTATAGTTCAGACAGATTTTTAAAGAACGTTTGGATGGATACACTTCCGACTGAGCATAGACTGCTCTCTGGAGTCTACTTTTGATTTTCCTCCAAGCAAAGCAGATGTTGGTTGTAATTTGTAGTCAAATTTTAGACCAGAGTAAAATGGGCTACTTTCCAATGTCGGGGTTCTGTGTATGAGATAAATGACATGTCAGTATTTCTTGAATTGCATAAAACTTAAAACAGAAATTACATAAGTAGACATATTATTTCCATAACTTACTTCTTAAAGGCTGTTTGCATATCCACAAAAAAGTTGTGAAATGTATATAGGACAGGCCTACATTCCTGTTAACTATTTATAGTTTAAAATGTTCCTAGAAATGAGTTTCTATGGACCACCACTGACTTTGTGAACCATTGATCTAACTGAGACACATTTTTAGCATAGCAATAGGACTGATGTAGCCTTATTTAACTCAAAGAGAAAATAAGTCTCTCATAGATTATGCTGCTATTAAATTTGTATTTTCTCTTTAATTTTCTATGATATGTCCTTACTGTTTAGCCCGGTTAAAAGTTAGTGGATAAAAAAACAGCATTTTACATTAGCACATCTTTTGACATTTGCAATAAACTATGTCTTTTCTAAAACAAAAAAAACTAATGGAATGTTTATTTCACTAGGTTAATCAAAACTGAAAGATAAAACTTACCCTTCTCCTATCACTTGATCTTCTGTAAGGTTCGTATCCGAATCTCTAAAACATTGTGAAACCATAAGATATTGATTAGTATTTGCTAATGACACAACATTGGTGATGGGAGCTAGATGTGTTGAACGGGTGAAGAGGGAGGCAAGTGCATTGCTGGAGACAACAATGGAGTGGTTCGCTTCAAACAAGTTAAAATTAAACGAGGACAAGACCCAACTCCTGATTTGCACTCTAGGGAGACAAATTGCTGCTGAAGAGAATGAAACAAGTAAAGCTGCATGGTTTCTGGCTTTATTTATTTTTTTTTTTTCTCGTATCTACGCCAGTGGCATTTTTGTAATGAAGTATGAAGTCAAACACTTTTAAGGGAAAGCGGTCCAAACCCATTAAAGTTTTGTGGATGCCGGGGATTGAACCCGTCCCTCCCGCACCGAAGTCCGAGACGCTAACTACTAGGCTAACAACACACCCCAAAACGAAAAAACATGCTGGCTTGACCAAAAATTGAACTAGGATCACAATATAGCCCAGATCTGCACCAAATTGTCTAGAGTGATCTTCCTCCTCAGAAAGCTACGTCATGTGGTCACTGAGCAGTATCTTGTTACCGTTTACTTCTCGCTGTTCCACAGCCATATCTTGTATGTTATACTCCTTTGGGGTCACGCTCCCGCATGCAGTAGATTGTTGATACTCCAAAAGGAAGCATTGAGAGTGATAACCTCTACTGAAATTACAGTCGGAGATTATACTCATAGGCCTATCTTTCAACGTCTCGGCATCCTGACTGTTTATGGACAATATGTCCTCAACTGTCTGATACACGTACACCAGAACATCTCTATGTATGGAAGAAGACAAGATATCCATCAGCATAACACCAGGAACGCTAGACACCTCGACACCCCTCAATGCAGACTGTCCAAATCCCTGAATAGCTTCCCAGTGACCACAATCAAACTCTTCAACAGTCTACCAGAAGAAGCAAGAAGTATGGATGCGGCTGGATTTAAAACCTCAGTGAAGGAAAAACTTTAAAATAGGTCTATCTACTCATTCAAAGAATTAGGTGACATGCCACTTTTTTAACTCGCCGCCATCTCAGTTCAGTTTTTAAATTAGTTTGACACAGTTTATCTGGGATTCCGGTCAGAGAAGTAGCCTTCAAATATTCAAGTATTCAAGTAAGTAAGTACATCTTATTCCCTAAATTGCTACCTATTACAAAGAAGTCTGAAGGTAAAGGAAATATTATCAAAACCTATGGCAGCTAAGTATAGTAAACACAAGTATTAACTTTATTTAACACTTGTAGTTCCAAAGAGAGCAATTTTTTTACATAAAATCTACAAACCTAACAAATAATAATACACAGTTAAAATCCTGCCCCTTGCTAATCTGTAAGAAGTTTTTTTTTTCATTTATAGCATTATAAAAGGCTTTCATAAGCAAATACAGGTATGTAACAATTCTTCCGACTTGGCCTATTGTATGTAGTGCTTAATGGCTCAATAGATTATTTGATTTGATTGTTTGAGAAGTTTTAAAATCAAATTAGCTCAAAATAAAAAACAAACACACAAACTTTTACATTTATAATTTTATAGTAATAATAAGGTGAAGATAATATGATGATACAAAACTCTATAGGAAATTGAAGAAAGTATAAACCACTTACATTTTCTCTCGTGGGCCATGTCCTTCTCACAAACATAGGTCCTGGCTGAAACAAAATGGTACCATAAACGACGTTAAGCAGTAGGAAAATAATATTTAAAAACTCAGAAGAGCAGCTAGAAAGAAATTGAAATCCCTGAAAACGCCAATTTAAAGTATTTATTTTGGTAAAATTTCTTTATTTAACATTAATCTATTAACATTTCACTATCAAACCCATTCCCTGTAGCCGTTAACCTAAGCACTCTTTAAACCTGAAGTGATCCAAATAGTGAATAAATCTGTAACTTGTAAAGGTAATAATTTAGAGAAAATCCAGTCAGGCAAAATGGAAATTAGCTTATTCTGCAGGTTTACTGTGCCATAGATGTAAAAATTACTACTACGTCAATCTTATTCAAACTTACCACATATGGAGGTCTTGTCACATCAGTTTGGAAATCCATTCCATAACCAAGCCCCTGTAACATCATCAACTTTACAACTAGGAATCAGACGTTTAAAAACATGCTACCAAGTACAAACAGTAATTCTTCATACAGTACTGCTTATTGAATTACAGAATTCTTTATACATTAACCAATGGTTTGCCCGTTTTACAAACGTTACCTTTGAATATATAATCTTTGTGGTTTACTAAGCAACATTTTATTTTTAACAAACATAAATTTTTTAGTCCTATATCCATAATTCTTTTTTCCCACTTTCACATCCTATGACACTTCCGAAACTGTTTTACACATTTCTTGAGGCTAGTCCCAGAGGGTTGAGGCACAATCATCTAAATAAAATATATTGGTGATTGGCAGGATTGAACCCCATGCTCTACCAATAGACTAACTAGATCCTGTATATTGGTGAGTACTCAAGTATTAAACTTAGTTAAGTATTACTTTCAATAACTAAAGTTACCTTTAACAACTACATGGGATAACAATGTTGTTTACGGTACTGTACCTCTAATTTAATTTTTTGATTGGGAGGGGGTGTGGTTGCAGCTGTGGAAACAGTTGCTTAGCTTACATTAACTTAACTTACCGTAAATTAACTAAACTACATTAACATTAACTTAGTTTACTTAGTCCAAAGTAAGAAAGGTATTTTTTAAATTTTTCATTAGTAAAAAGGGAGTAAAAAAAACACTTCCAAATCTATATAAATTCAAATTTATTTTAAAAATTGAAATCTTACTACACATTGTAGTCTGCTGTAGAACAAAGAATAATATTACATTAAATTTTGCAAGTTTGATTAAACCTAATTATGATAGTTGTTATATAGGTGGTTTCTTATAATATTAATAGAAAATTTTATGGCTGTTAAAGATATTAAATATAGCACTTGATTTTCCAACTTGAATTTCTTCCAAAATTTCTCAACTTGTTGAGGAATTGTTCCTCTTGATCCAATGAGTAGTCCATATACTTCGAATTTTGATATTTTATATTTCTCTGAATAATATGGGATAGTTTTCTTGTAAATATTTACTTTTTCTTCATGGACTTCCTGTGGCTGATTTTCATTTGTCTCAAGACGAACTGTTGGGTCTATAATGAGACCGAAATCTTTCTCCTTGTCTATAACAATGATGTCACTCCGCCTCACAGAGCCCTCTTCTTCTATAGCCGTGACCTCTTCATAGACCTCGTAACTTTTCTTTCTGAATTGATCAGATATGATTTTTCTGATGGTATGGTGGCGGGTATTTCGTAGAAGACTACTAAATGGGCACTTTCCAAGGACGTGGGCAAGAGTTTCAAGAGTAAATTTCTCAGATACAGGACAATGCCTGCACTGGTTCCCGTCCCTGGATCTCCCATGAAGACTTCTAAGAGGAATAACGTCTCCGACCATTTTCAAGTATTGTTTGAACTCAGCTTCTGTGAGGCCACAACCTCTAGCCAAATTTTTATTGATCTTGTTACATTCTTTGAAAAGAACCACCCCATTCCCTTTGTATGGAAGTTTACACCAATTTTGATACTCTAAGTCTCGTAAGGTTTCTCGCAGTATCTTGGGTTTTGATTCAATAAATTCAATACTTAAATTCAATTTTTCCAGACAAAACCTAATTTCTTCGTCAAATTGACGAATATTAAGTAATATTTTTTTAATTTACTAACTAATAACTAAAGTATTTTTCCTTAAAAAATAACTCTTGGCTAACTAAAAAAACCTACATAATATAATTTTCCCAAAAGGAATCACAAAATCATGATCATTTTTGCATCTTTAAAATAATATGACTATTTTGTTACAGACACTTTGTTTTGCCATAATTTATATTTAACTACTGTATCACAACAAAAACTATATTTTTACTTAAAATATCCTGTATTTGAACTCACCCGAACTACAGGACTTTTTGGTGTTCCTCTCAAGGTAATTTCATCGTAAAACTGTGAAAACAAAATTGTTGTTAACGAAAAGCAAAACAAATCCGTGAAATAATGTTCACATTAAATCAGTTTTGGTAAGTTGATATTTTTTGGATGTGTTACAGTCGAAAGAGTGTAATTGATTCGTTTACTTACCCTAACCCGCTTTGGCTTGAGATCTGCTTTGCCAAACTGCTCATATGCCCTTCCCTGCAACAGCAGTATAATAAGTTAGCATAGGTTATGGTTTAGATTTATTACCTTAATGAATTTAGATAATCCAGCACTAAAATCCCTTGTAAAGCTTATGAAGCTCCAAGGAATACTTTTGGAAGAAATTTCAAACTGAAAGAAAAACATTGACTTAGTAAGTAACTGCAGTTTAGGAACAACATGAAGTAAATTGAGTAAATTGATTTTCAGTAAGAAAACTGAGGATAAATCAAATAGCATAATGTAATGCAACAGGCACGTGAAGTTTTCAAGAACGTTTGTGGAAAAAAATTGGGAAAATTTATAATCAATGAGATTAAAAAATATAAGATGAAAAACATGAACTTCCTACTAAAGCAAAAACCTCAGTCAGAAGAGTACCAAATGACACAAAAGCTTATCAAGGCTGTAATTTGCATCCAAAATGGGTTCTTGATGCACAATTCATAATTTGAAGTCAATTTCAATCACATAAAGACAGAAGGAAGAGTGTAAAATAAATTATTTGATAACCTTATGGATGTTACACAGTTTTACTAAGTGTTCAATTTTGACTATATTTTCAGAAATCATCAAACAATAATATTGCTTTCGGACCAACTTACCCGCCTAGGCCCTTTGTAAGCGCTGAAATTCCTCGGCACAAAAGTTCTCGGTTGGAACGTCCCTGTGTAGATCTGCCGTCGAGGCCACGGCGCAGGAACATTGTCTATCGGACTGATCGTGGGTATATTCTCGTAAAAGGGTCGCACAGTCGGGAAAACCACTCCGGTGGGATACGGGGAAGGCGGGGGAGGCGGGGGAGGAGGAATGTTAGGCAAATGTGAAGGGAATGGTTCAGGAGGAGTAGGGGGTGGGATTGGCCCATACTGTGGAGGTGGTGGCGGTGGCGGTGGTGGTGGTCTCTGAAAATGTGGTGGTGGGGGAGGCCCCGGTGGAATAGGTCCGGGTGGAAATGGAGGACCCCCAAACGGGGGCATCGGGGGTCGAGGTTGACTAAACCTCGGGTGAGGAGGAGGTCGGAACCTGGGTGGTGGTGGTCCTCTATAAGCGGGGAACGGGGGGTGGGGGAACTGTGAGTGTTGGAAGGGTGGGGGATTGAAGGGAGCATGGAAGTGCGGAGGAGGCTGCGGTTGAGGGAACGGAGGAGGAGGGGGAGGCAGAGGGCCGTACAGTCGACCAACGTTCATTGGACCTCTCTGAAAAAAAACCATCACCAAATAACTTGCACCAATAAAGCTAATTATTTGTATCAGCATCCATATCAGAAAAAAAATATATTAGCATATATTTTTAATTTGACTTTAGCAACAATAGTGTATAAATAAAACCAAGACACCAAAGCAAAAAAATCTTTTACACAAATAAATGTGAAAAATGACTTTAGAAACGAGAGTATGATTTCCATAAACTGAATCTGCACTAAAAACTCTAAAAACCATTTTTTTAATGACTCTAAATCATTATTATTAAGTTATAAATTATTACAATAACCATATCAAAATTATCACATTATTGCATTGGTTATGACAGGACCTAATCCAACAGTTAATTTTGTAAATAAACTTTAAAAAGTGGTTTCAAATGTGGAAAATTATTATGTTGATGCACCTTAAAAACACAAAATTGATCTATATATATAAAATCCAATGTATGTATGTTTGTTTGTTTGTCCTTTATGGACTCCAAAACCGCTCGACAGATTGTAATGAAACTTTCAGGCATTATTAAGCATTATTCAAGGAAGGTTTGTGTGAAGTTTAGTGCCGATCCGTCAAAAGGGCTCCGCCCCATTGGCTCTGGAGTTTTCCATGTTAACCTTATGAGTACTCATATTTAAATGGAATTAAAGAATCTTAACAGCTGGTTCAACTAAACAATTTGATTCTGCGATGTTCAATAACATAAAAAAATTAATAGGTTAAGCAACAGGGTGCAGCACTATTATTTTTTTTTAATTTATGACAACATCTATTTTGCAACCAAAAGGTGACTGAGCATAGCGAACGAACTTCAACCTGGAGGCAAGTTAGCATAGCGAACGAGCTAACCTGAAGGCAACTGAGCGCAGCGAACGAGCTCCAACCTAAAGGTGAGTGAGTGTAGCGAACAAACTTTAACCAGGACGTGATTGAGCCATGCGAACGAGCTCATCTTGAAAATGAACGAGCATTTGACATAAAACCACATTAGGACAGGACGACGTCTGTCGGGCCAGCTAGTACTTAATATGTTTTACAACCATATCTAGTTTTTTAAATATAAAGGATGAGTATTTTCTTTGGCAAAAATTTAATTTTAATTCATTGAAATTGAACTTAACTTGTTAAGCTAGTAAAACTAAAAAGGTAATAAGTAGTAAAAAAGTGTAAAACTAGTTTGATAACTTCTTTTAAAGTGTTGTTTAATATTCTACTTCTATCGTAGTACCATTCATCCTGTGATTTTTAAGGTAAACGATCGGTTAAAAGTATTGATTCTTAACACAAAGAGTGAAGTGCTGTTATTTTTTTATTACAGTATACTTTTATCTAAGCAGGTATATTTATTTTTAATTGATACTCATAATCAATCAATAAAATAAGTATAATATAAAATCAAGTACTAATTTCTTGTAATCCTAATTTCAAAACTATCTCTTGTTAATACTAAATATTCATCTCAAATTTACCAAATAATTATTGTTTATATGTCCTGTAAAAAATTTATATCTTCATTTAAACAATTTAGCTACAACAAATAGTATGAAATCGTAACTGAAAATAATATACAAAAAACATACCTGTCTGAAGTTGATATAAGTTCGGAATGGGCGAGTACTTCGTGTCTGTAAAAATTACAAAATTCTTATAATTTCAAAGGTTTTACAATTAAATCATTTAAATAAAGCAGTAACAGGTAAAATCCAAGTTGCATGTTATAAGGTGAATATGTGGAAAAGATTAATGTAGCATGGAGTGATATGATCTGTGTATATGTTTGTTATTGTATATGTCAGCCCTTTCTTAAGCCAGGACGATTAGATAAAAACCAAATGAGAAAAAAAGCATTAGATTGTAATTTGATATTTATGTAAATTCTGGATTTGAAATGAAGAGAGATTATTGTAGACATTTTCCATCACAATAGAAAATGAAATTAGAAAAAGTATTCACGACATACTAAGTTTAATTTGTCAACGAATCTTTGTTATGTTTTAGATACTCTCTCTGAGAACTGGAGACAGGGCTGCATTCCAGATCCCAAAGCTTTGTCATAATTTTTTTTCTATAAAAACACCAAAAAAAGACCATCACCAAAAATTAACTTTACACAAAGAATTTTAGTGACATTTGAAATGAAAACTAAAAGGAAAAATGCTTTATTACAAAGTTAAGGCCATGTGGCCCTTTCTTACAAATAACCTGAAATGATAAGATAAATTTTAAATAGTAAGCCACTTAGGCCGTCGACACACGGGAAGACTGTTTTCCAACTGAAATCGGCAACTAGTTGGACAAACTAGTCGACTGCGTCCCGACCAATGTAGTTAGGTGGGACAGTGCACGCATCGGGGCGACTGCGATGCGACCAGTTGAGGACCAGTCGGCGATCAGTCATTGATTTTGCGTCTGTTTCTTGTAATGCAGCGGCAGCTACAAAGAGCCTACATTGAATATTTGTTTTAACATAAGGATGTACCCAATACTTTCTACGTCCTCTAAGCTTTCTTGATTGTCTATAAAACACCAGGGCTTCTTAATCACTACCACTCATTTCAAACACCATACACAGTACATAGTATCGTTATAACAAAATTAGAACTCATTTACTGTCTCAACTCAACTACAGTCGCGCCCGTGTGCAGATTTTACCAACGCAACTGCAATCGTAATCGCGTCACAAAAAAGTTGGTTCAACTTTAGTTGGATTTCAGTCTTCCCGTGTGTCGACCGCCTTACAGTTATCCAAATATATTTACCCAATACCACTTAACCTGTTTTTGACCACTTTAGCCATTACATAAATCTTAAATATTAATCTTTCTAAACTTACCGCAAATATAATAAAAATAGGATTTTTTAGTTTTAAAAAGAAAAGGGATTTAATATTTAATATTTTAGAACTTCTTGTTTTTTGAAAGACCAACTTAATGTGACGGTTGTGCACAATTTGATGATTTTTTTAATATAATGATTAGGCCTATTAAAATCATAGTTCTAAAATCACAGTTACTTAATCATATTTTAAATATTAATCTTAATTTTTGAGTTAGCAAAGACTGAAAATTGTAAAATATACGGTCTGATCATCTGGGGGGGGGGGGGGGGGCACTACAGCTGGTAACTTCAAACGCATACTTATCTTGCAAAAAAGAGCTGTAAGGACCATCTGGTCTACAATACAGATAACTGTAAGGAAGCATTTACAACCCTCTGTAAAGAAATTTCTAACAGCAACTGCCCTGTATATTAGGGAAGCAATCTTGTATGCTGATAAGAAATCTGAAATCCTCAATATACGTCATTCTATTAATTTGATATCATGGACGATTACTTAAGATTAAACTTCAGAAATGACAAATTAATATGTTAACAAAAACCATCTTCTTTACGGTTGCCATTTGAAATCGTCAATATATGTGATTCAATCAATTTGATATCACGGACGATTACTTAGATTAAACTTTAGAAATGACAAATTAAATGTTAACAAAAAAACCATCTTCTTTATTTCTTTCATCAAAACAAACAACATACTGAAAATATTTTTTTTTTTACAAAACAATTTAAAATTATGATTGTTTATTTATTTGTATTAGTAAACAGTCTTTTGGTAAACTTATAGTGAAATATATGTTGAGGTTTTTTTTATAAATGATTAATAATAGTACATCAAATCACCACCAAGAGGAGCAGATTTTCACAGCCATTACTCGAGACACCTCCAGGTTCAACCTACCCCACCATCACAGCTGCCTATATGAGAAAACCCCATCTTATATAGGAGGTACACAACTATCTACCGGAAGAAATAAGGAAGCATCAGGGGAAGCAGCTGAAGACAGAACTCACACCCTGACTTCAAACTGGATGGTTTTACACCATCGACGAGTTCTTCACTGGAAGGACCAATACCCATAAAATACTCACACCATTGGAAACCTTGACTCAAGTACATTTCTCTAAGAAATTGTAAATAAAGAATGTTTGTCTTATAAGAAAATTTGTTAAAATACTTACTGACGGTGTAATGAAGCTTATATTGCCTGCATTGAAGAGTTTCTGAAACAGTAACCAACATAATTGAAATTCTTTCAAAGTTGAATCAGTATGCTACACGTAGTAAACAGATTTTTAATTGGTTTTGAAATTTAAATGTTTACCCCATTGAAAGGAATAAGTACTAATTACTCACATCATTCGAGGGTTTCATAGTGAGAACCTGTAAACAAACAAAATGTATCACTCACAAATTATAAATTCCAAAGTCTAAATAATAATGACGTTCAAAACGGTTTCAAATACGTTTCATGGAAAGATGAGACTTCTACGATACATCAATAGATCAAAGTTATGATTATAGATACACTACTGCAAGGTAGACATTCAATTGACAAGTTCCAGTTGTAGCCAGTTTTGGAATGAAAGAACTTAATTCATCAGAACCACCAACAAAATGTACTGCTGTGAAACACCGGCCTCATTTCTATAGACCAACTTTTTAACTTAGCCAGTCCAAAAGGCAACTAAATGTAAACCATTTTTCACATGTCACTATCAACTCGGGAGAGTAAGGAATGTTTTGGAATAAAGTAAAAAGTTTGTACAAGAAAACATTTTTATCATAGGCCTATACATTTGAGAGATTTACTAAAGTACTAAAACACTATTTTTCTACAGAGTTGCCTAACAAATTGTAAAACACTTATCATAACAGGGTTCGAAATTTGAAAATTACTCTGTCGTGTAATTCTGCCACTTGCAAGCTCACCTATCCCTGGTGAGAAGCAATTGGAATTCCCTGAAGTCATGAAAACGCTGTGCTTCTAGCCAAGTCTTCATATTTGGAAACACGTGAAAGACACTCAGAGCAAAGTCTGGACTGTAGGATGGTTAATGGGAAATCTTCATTTCAATTATTGATTTTTGTGTGATTTCTGGCATTGCCATGCAAAGAAAATGTTGGAAACCAACCGTTGTTTGACCATTTTGATACGGAATGCATTGTTTACAGAGAAAGAACTATTATTTATTATGTGGTTTCTGTACACCTCACACATTCGATGATGAATCTATCTCTATCTATAAGTTACCTATGATACGTGAAGCCATTTTTTGTGAACACCACTCCTCTCTTATATGTGGACCAATTTCAACGTCTGAGGTGTCAAAAAATTTGTCTCTATTTGTAGTTTGCAATAAGGTTTTAGAATTTGAAAATTCTTACCCTGCGGGAGGCAATCTCAAAGGTAGATTTTCCCCCATAAGAATTACATAGAACAAATTTTAGAACAATAAAACTTAGCTGTTTATAAAAAGAATATCAGCAGCTTTTTGGAAGTAAATAGTATTATTGATGTTTGTAATATTCAGGAGGTTATAGACCAATGGAAATAGTTAATCAGTTTTGCTGGAACAACGTAAAATGCCTCGAGTTCAAAGAAGAAATATTGAAAACAGAAGGAGGAGACAATTAATAGACAAGAGACATTAGACAATAGACAAAGCTTTATTGCACATAACGCCTGATACAAAAATTACAAAAGTAATTCCCAAGCTGGTACATGGTCAATTTATATCTAATTTATATCTAGGTTCCTTAATCTAATTATACCCTGACAAGAGTAAAAACTATTACAATTTATCTTTAAAAAACGTCTGAATTTTGTAATACACTTTTTGGCTCAAAGTCTCTTTCAGTTTATATGTAAAATTTGATTTTGATAAAGTTCTGTATGAATTAGGTAAATGATTGTAGATTTTTAATCCCATGTAAAGAGGCCCAGTTTCAAATTTTGTGTGCGAATGTTTGGGATATTGAAAAGTTTTGTTATTATTTCTCGTTTGATAGTTATGATTTATCTTATATTTTTCAAAAAAGAAAGGATTTGCATGAACATACTTTGCTATTTCAAATATATAAAGAGAAGGTAATGTTAAAATGGAATGTTTTTTTGAAAAAAGGTTTACAGCTTTTTTTAGACTTCTGGTGAAAAATAGTTCTGAGAATTGACTTTTGGCAAGTGAACACTTTCTTGGCCTCTGCAGAGTTACCCCATAGAGTGACGCCATAAGCCAGCAAAGAATGAACATACGCATGATATACTGTCAAGCAGACTTCTAGCGGCGTGACCTTGGATAGTACAATTAGTGAATACCTTGTTGACCTTAATTTTTTATTTAGATGATGAATGTGATCAGACCAACTTAATTTTGAGTCTAAATTTAGACCTAAAAACTTAACAATTTTTGTATTACTGATTGTGGTGTCTGTAACTCTGTTTCTGAGTTTAAATTGAAGAATGTTAGTTTTACATTCATTTAATTTCAGGCCATGGCTCTCAAACCATTCATTGATTTGTTTAATTGTGCTGTCAAAAGTTAATTTAAGTTCACTTAGTGTTTTTCTTTTTAAAAGAGCAGTTGTGTCATCGGCATACAAAGTGAAAGCACAGGAATTTGTGGAAAGGCAATTAGGCAAGTCATTAATAAATATAATAAATAATAAAGGCCCAAGTATGGAACCTTGGGGAACACCATATGTAACGCTGGCCCAGTTAGAATAATATTTTATTGATTTTTTTATTACTATTGTGCGCTGCTTTCGATTGAATAGGTATGATCGTAATAATTCTAGTGCCATTCCCTCCAAGCCAATATTCTTCAATTTGATCAGCAGCAACCTGTGGTTCACACAGTCAAAAGCCCTGGATAAGTCACAGAAAACTCCTGCAGTCAACTGTGACTGATCCAGAGCTTCAAGGACACTACTAATATAAGTAAAAAGAGCATTATGTGTGCTTAGATTTCTTCTAAAACCAAACTGCTCTTGACACAGTTTTGAGTTACATTCCAGGTAATTTGCAATTCTAAGATGAATAATTTTTTCAAAAATTTTAGATACATTACTGAGTAAAGAAATTGGTCTGTAATTTTGACTATTATTATGTGTGTCTTTTTTTTAAATTGGTCTGATTTCAGTCTGGAAATTCACCCTCACTAAATGATTGATTGATGAGTCAAGCTATAATATCAGAAATAATGTCAGCAGTCCATTTCAATAATTTAGTGGGAATCTCATCCCAACCACAAGAATTACTATTACTTAAACTTAAGATAGCATTTTTAACTTCAAATTTGTTGGTAAAAGCCAAAAACTGTAATTTATCTGTATTGTCTGATTCTAAAGAGTTTTTACTGATGTACTTGTTATTGATGAAAGAGACATTTGGCACATTTAATATTTCCTTTATGTTGGAAAATTGAACATTAAGATATTCTGCAATTTCTTTGGGTTCATTTATCACCCTATCCCCAACATAAATTTTAGTAGTAGTCTCCGTTTTTACTTGAATGCCCAGTTCTTTTTTAACAACTCCCCACATAGCTTTACTCTTGTTACAAGATTTAATAATAAAATTACTATTATGCAATCTCTTAGCCTGCAAAACTACCTTTTTGAAAATTCTTTTATAGTTCTTAACATAGTTCAAAAATGATTTTTGTCTACATGTATAAGATCTACATTAATAAGATATCTTATGCGTATGAGAAGAGTAGGAGAAGAGAGGCCTGGTCCAACAGTAAAGGAATCGAGATACACACTCACTTGGATGGATGAATAATATTTCCCAGTTCTGCTATGCAGCTTGCTTTGTAAGTGAAAATGCACGAATATAAACATCGTGTTGTCACTGTGGCAAACTTGCCCAATGTCAGATCAAATGAATATATATATGTATATCCAAGAAATGTTTACTTTACTATTAACACCAACAGGTCGAGACTTTATATAGGTTCATTTTAAGATCATGGCCAACAAAAACCGTATTGCAGACCACACCTCTCAACTAGCGGCATTTTTAATTGCAGTACGCTTCTTAAACTTTGATATTGCAACAATGGGCAGCATAGCGACACTTCTCATGTGATGGCTAGACAGTCATTAATGAGGCAAACTTGTCTGTACTAGAAAGTGTATCAGAGTGCACCTTTTGGCATCAAACTAAAACGTTCCTGAATTTCTGATCAACCCTTGTATTCTAAACAACTAGAGGAAAAATCTTACTCTAAAATCGTAACACACTCTATAATGAACTCATTCAAATATGTTTTATTTAACTAAATATCTGATTCATAGATGGAATATCTATTACGGTATCTAATGCCAACACTTAAATTTAGATAGGTTACCATCTGCATCAGTTTGTTTAACTTTATCAATTTGTAAAGAAATCACATGCAAATAAAACTATGAGTATCATAACTCACCACTGACAATCCAGGCTTGATGTACCCTCCATAAGTTGGTCTGTCTTTCTGCAAACAAAATCAAAACAGATTTTTGTATTTAAACAACAGAAAACACCACTTGCACTAGAAGCAATGATTCCAAGATCACTGTTGGAGAATGGGGTAGAGACATTTCATATTACTGAAAACTTAAATAGACATCAGCAAATAAGACAAATCGTCAGTGCAAATTTTCAGGAATATAACAGGATTTTAACTTGAAGTACTTGAAGAACATAATACTGTAACACTTAATCCTAATTTATCATCAATTTTAAAATAACCGAATAATTTCTCTTTTACACTTGCTCTTTCCATAAACCTGAGTCAGGTTTAAAACTGAACTACCCTTTGGGGTTTTGCTTGAGCAGTTTTACATTATCACCTTAATAACTGGAAATCTTGATATCTGGAATTCCTTGATATCTAAAATTTATTATATCCCCTTGTAATTCCCATGGATCACAATGTTAAAAGTACCTTATAAGTGAAAGGTGTTAAATATTTAACCTAAAAAGTTGAATTTTAACGGTTTTTTATCAGTAGTACTCAACATCTATAACCCATATTTTCCCGTTATAGAGCACCATCGTTTAATTGAAGCTTTTAAAAGCATACTATACATTGTACTGAATTTTCTGAGTTGCGAATAATTTAATTATTAACTTACCCGGCCCCTTAATCTCCACTTGGTTGGACTGGTAAATGTTTCATTGTTGGTGAATTTATTCTGAAATAACAAAATGGTTACTGTAACATTCATCAGTTGGAAAACAGGTATTTTTGTACCTATTTATTGGCTGTTGTTTTCAATTTGAACATGATTTTGTGTATAAATTAGTGTTGAGTGTATGAGGGAGATATATTACTAAAATCTGAAACAAATTACTAAAAGAGAACGAACTGTCTAATTGAAACTCTCACATACTATTTTCAAATTATAAATCGTCATCACAAAAATTATGTAGAACTATATTCTTCTGTCAATGAAATTATAAATTTGGGTATGATTTCTACCAACTCCTTTTTCACTGGTAAAAGAGGAAAAAATATTGAATGTACCACTAAAAGTGTGGTTAAAACTAGTGTGTATAAGAATATATATCTTAAACAAATATAAATTTTGACAAAAATTCGTAAAATTTTTTTTAAGGAAAATTACATTTTATTGAAGAGTATTGTGACTAAACTAAACAATAAACATTTTTATTTAATACAATGAAATAACAAAAATATTAAGATACTAATTTTAGTTAAGAAATAAATTAACTACAATTTTATTAATCTTTACCAAATATATTGTTTCTACTGTAAAATGCCAAAATAAAAATAAAACAGTAAATTCCACACTCATCAGTAAATTTATTAAATAAAACCCAAATACTTACAATATTGGTAGGCCTTTCTGGTTTGGGCTGAAAAAAATGTTAAACAGATTAAATAGATAAATTATTAATTGAATTTATTAATTAAGGTAAATTTTTACAGGTTATTTATGTCGTGTTAAAGAGCTTTTTTAATACAATTGAATTTATTCTACCTTTCACATACTTTCTCCTCTGCTAATTTCAACATAAAATATTTTTCATATAAAACCAAAAACCCACGTTCTTCAAATTTCAATTTCAATACAAATAAAAGCTTAAATAGAAATATTTCAAGTATTGACAAATTATGATATAGGCCTACTAAAGAAGTATCTTTTTGTAAATCATCAAATCTATTAGTAGTAGAGACATTCAATAACATTTACTCAAAATTGGTACTTAAGATGTACTATAAATATTGAAATTGAAAAATAACACCAACAAAGAGCCAAGTTCAAAAAAGTTTAGCTTGCAGCATCTTTTCTTTTCATAATCCTTTGATTTAAATTACAAACAAATTATTTGATAAACAATATATGGTAATTGTCACAAGGACAATATCCTATTTTTAAGTTGGAACCCTAAACAATGATTAAAACTGAACAAGCATCATACTTACCACCAAGTCTATTTTAACATGGCCCATGTAAGGGGGGGATACGAATGAGTCTGATTTGAAACCCTGTAAAAAACCAAAACCAAAAGTTATAAATAGCAACTAACGAACTAGTTGGAAAAATGTTGTTTTTTTTGTAAAATAGAAAAAACAGATAATCCTCTCCAAATATAAGTTTGCATATCTGATACAAAACTAGAACATTTTTTATTGATGTACCTATTAGTTGAATCTTTAATGTGTTCCGAGTATTGCTATTCATAATCAACCTAATAAATGTTACAAGTTGAACACCTACCTTCTTGATCTATACCTTAAATCAAATGTTCCCGACTCGACTTACCGATTTCCGTTTTCCTGATTCCACAATGGAGCCCATTGGAGGAAGATTTGCGGTGAATTCTGGTGGAACTGAGACCTACGACAAAAAAAGTAGTCACTGCTAAGTAAAGAGTTTAAACAATATTGAGATGACAACTCCAAATAGACAAGAACTCAGGTTTTGCCCATCCCCACTTCGTTCATTGAATGTTATTCAACCTTTACCTAGGTCTTGTATATTGAATACCTTAGCTACCATCCTACTTTCCTTGTAGGCTATTTATAAAATATCACATCACAGGTTAAATTACATGTATAACTTTTACAGGTTACAATACCTCATGACTCAACAAAAAAATGTTTGCACCACAACTTTCATTCTAAAACTATAATTATTACTGGTACACAAAAAACTTATGATTTTTTGCAAGAAATACTGAGATGAGTTGTATGTAACAATATCAATTGTTAAAAGTCCACAGTGATTATCAGACTTCATACAACAGTATCAGCCAACACAACCGTGACTTGGATTAAAATCTAAATCAGCTAAGAAATGAACTAATGTACGGTATCAACTATCAATAGGATCAGTGGTATAAAATGATATTCGTCTTTTCTTGGAGAAAACTTCAGACAGAATTTATCAGTCACAACTACAAGAGAAAATCTGGCTACATCTTAATAGTAGACGCTGCAAATATGTCAGTTTTATGTATTCAACCAAATATAATTTTAATTTATTTCCTTCTTTCCAAGGTGTGGCAACAAATTTTCAGGTAACTCCAGATTTGTTTTTAGTTGACAAAATCTACGAGCTATTCACAATATTAAGGAATTCATGTTGGAGTAGGGTATACTCTGTGCTGTTTATGTTGTAGACATTAGAGTGATATAAATTGTTATTGTTTATATATTTATTAATTACACACCTGTTTTCCACCCTTTATTGCTTCAGGTTGAGGCCAATCTTCTGGAGGAGGTTTTAAAACTATTCTAACCGGAGCCTGCAACAAGGATCAAGTAAAGCAAGGTTTTACTAGACGCGGAAGTGGAGTGCAAAGAAGCGATTTCTGCTCTTCCAGCGGCAGTCCGCTCTGCTTCTAGGAAATAGTTCCATTAAATTACCTAAGACAAGAGGAGAGCAGACTCCACTTTCCACGCTCCGCTTCCGCGCCTAGGGAAACCCAGCTTAACAGGGAAAATACCTACAATAAATAACACACATAAATGTCTTTTTAGTAGGCCTAACATAGGTGAATAATAGTATTAAAATTAACCTTAACTGAAGCAAGAACTATTTTCAAGCAAAGCCAAAATGAAATTAGCTTCAAAGTATGATTTTTAGATTAGTTCATAATTCCTTATGCCATGAAAAAATTACAATACTTGTATAGAAGAAAATGTTACATAAATAAATTTTGAAGATTAAACATAATACCAGCAGTATTTTATTAGTATTTTTGCTGGCCATAAAACCTTATGAGTTTAGAAAGACATTTTAAGCTAGGTATAACAATTCCTTAGCATGTCCTACTAGGAGCAAGTGATGGCAGTCACTATGATATTTTGTACTATTTGATTTAGAGTTAAAAAGACCATAAACATACTAAATAAATTTTAATGAAAATCCTTTGAGCCGTTTTTTCTTTTTTTTCCTGATTTTTCTGTTATTTTATAGGTTTTATGGGGAAACCAACATTAAAATTAAAATTAAAATTACAAACACCAGATAACAGAGATACAAAATGGAGATACCATGAATTATTATCCATAAACGAAATGTAGTCAAAATCAGACCACGGGTGTAGACTGTAGAGGTCCACATCCACACACACACACACTCGGACATCATTTCAAAAACCACTTTTCAGGTAAACAGATAGTTCCACCCAAATTCAAACTCGACAATTTTGACAAAAACAATACTACTTTCTCCATATAAAGGGAAGAGAGTAAAATAAACGGTGAACAACGCAGGAAGGTGGATGGGTGGATTTTTTTGTAAGAAGCCCCTCAAATCAGATGTTTACTACTTTTTCCCTCATTTACCTGAAAGTGTGTCTGCTAAGAATTTTTTTTTATAAGATTTTTTTTAATGAGGAAAAATTTAAGCTTAAAGTGACTACAGTGTTGTAAAGCATCATTATAGTCGTTGTAAATGCTTAGTTAAGTTATTAGTTCTTACTTTAAATGGAATTTATTAGTGAAAAAGAGTGTTTGCTTTAGTCTTGCATAGCAGAAATAAAAATTTCCCAATAAAATTTTTGTATCATAAAATATTAGTTTAAATTTATATAATGCATATATGAACACTAAGACTTACCCTTCTTCCCTTTGGCTTGTTCTGAAACAGAAAAAGATACATTTAAATGCTAAGGAGTTATGAACCCATATACATGTTTAAATGTTGTAGATGTAATGTCAAACAATGAAAGGTAAATTGAAATCCAGTTATGAGTTATGACATGCTATTGTACAATGATTTTTTATTTCACTACCCAACTTTTGATTAAGTAGGCCTACGATTAAAAGTATAACTTGAAAGATATCTTAGTTATAACAATGAAAACAAACCCTTTAAGAAGTGAAATGCTAATGGAGAATAGTCAGATGACTGGAATATTGCAGCCGAAATGAAATTCGCGCGGCCGCTGCGCTACTCTGTCTCTATCTCTCTCTAAGCCAATTCTTTGTCTCACTCTCTCTCACTCATTCGGCTGACTTGGCCGTATGCTCACGATAGTCTACCTAGCTGCCGCCATGGTAACTATCGAAAATTCAAATATTTCCAGACTGATTTTTTTTACATTTAGATTATGATGGATTTACTAGAAATGTATTCACTATTTTATAAAGGGATTAGCTATCCAGTAAGTTTACCTAGTTTTAACTTTAAAATAAATTAACTTAAATTACAATTTTTACAAAACCAGTTAAATTTAAGCATTTCCCTGATTGTATGAAACCAAAGAATATATCACTACATAAAAAAATAAATTATTAAAAGATCTTGTACAGGAAAGGTTATCTCCCTTGATGAATTATTAGTCACCTCCCCCCTAACTAAATAACTATTTCAATCCAACTTATATTTTATTTCATTACAACATTTTGCTTTTTACATAACAACATTTTTGGTAAACACAAGTTTATTCTTTTAGGTTCTTATTCAGTTTGTAGTTGACAGTGGACACCATCCAATCTAGATTAATATCTGTACTCATGAATAATTATTTTACTTGATTATGAAACATCCTTGACCAAATTTTATAAAGGTGTTATACATGTTTACTTTTATCTGACCATTGTTATAAGACAAAGCTACTTTAAATTTAAATGTTAAGGACTTCAGATCTACAACATGTCTCACCCTGGTAGCAGGATTTTGTCAGGAGTTGCGAGCGGTCATAACGGAGAAGAAGAAGAAAAGGAAGAGACACAAAATCGGGACCTGGACAGAATAAGGAATCGGGTCAGACATCGGTAGAATCAAATTTGAGGTTAACTTAAAAATAAAGGATGAACAATATACAGTGTGGTAGAAAAGTCCAGGAACGGTTTAATATATTTTTTACCAATATAGATAAAGCAATGAGACTTGGTACATCAATAATAGCCATAAATGTCTACTCTTTTAAAAGCTACTATCACATTTTTATCCCTTAGGGGCCAATGAGGAGTCAGACAAAATTCTTAAATAGCAGCACATGTCGAGTTTGGTATCTAATTAAAGGTCTAATTAAAGGTTAGTTAGTAGAGCACATTGCTGCAACCCCGAACTCAAACAGACAATTGAGTCAAAAATGGCAACCGTTAAAATATTTCTTGAATTTATTTTCTTGAAATATTATTTGAATTTTTTGGAATCTTTGAGTAGCTGCCATTTTTTACTCAATTGTTCTATTGAGCTCAAATTTGCGGTATTGTATTCTACTATTATGACCTTTAATTTTATATGCATATCGACCTATGCTTACGTTGTTGATTTTCTTCCGAATTCTCACGGTCCCCTTTGTGGAGGTAGGGAATGCAAATTCAATGGATCTTTGAACAGCTGTAATTTTTGACTCAAGTTGTCCTTTTGAGTTCAAGTTTGCGGCAATGTATTACACTAACTAAGGCCTTTAATTAGATACCAAACTTGACCTATGCTGCTATTTGTTCTGACTCCTCGTGGGCCATAAAAAAGTGACATTAGCGTGATGAGTAGACATTTATGGTTATTATTGATATACCAAGTCTCATTACTTTATCTATATTGGTAAAAAATATATTAAACCGTTTCGGGACTTTTCCACCCCCTGTATAGACAATACTGAAGTCTAATTATTTAAAAAAATTCAACTTCAGTCTAAGCAAAATGGTAGAGTTGTACCTATATAAATGTCTTTATTGCAGTTCACTACCAAAATAGTTTTATTATTCTTTGATTAAAGCAATGAAAATTAGTGGTTCAACGATTTTTATGGATTTTTCCCTCCTCCAGGATTGTATGGCAATAATAAAATATGTTTAGGACATTGTCTTGTCCATCCATTATTTAGGTAACAAACGTCTAATTTCAGATCTTTATTGTTCCATTTAAAATCTGATCTTCTCGCTTTTGGATAAAGCTAAGCATTAAATAGATCTCATTGCCATGGATTCATAGTTTGTCACACAACCAAATATGCCACTGACTCACCTAATGCTCAGTCCTATAGCGTTATTTTCATTTTTCTTTTTTCAAATTGAAAGAATAACGAGAAATAACTTGGTGACATTAAAGTTTAGAACGGGTTTTATTTAACATTCTCATAGTGCACAGGGTTATTTTTATTTCTATTTGTTAATGCCTTGTAATGTTATCATATTTATATTTATTTGGAAAAGTCTAAATTTAAAAAGTTATCCTTGGCCTAACTAAGTCTTAGCATGAAGAATTACAGTTATAGATAATTGCTTATTGGAAAAAATACTTTGAAAGTATTGAACCATTCAACTGTAAAGCATTGCTGTACTGTTGAACTAATCGAAAACATAATCAAATTCATAAAATGTTTAAGTAAAACTTAGATACTGTTTAACTTACCAGCTTAGGAAAAACATCTTCAGCATTGCTTGGCAATGGAGGCTCTGTTGGTAAGGAAGGCTGAAAAGTATAAATTACAATTTTCAGAACAGATAAAGTACAGATTTAAACTTATTCATTTCACTGAATAGTTTGATAACCTTTCAAATTTATTATAGCAATTGAAACCGAATTGAAAAACTATTAAATTGAATTAATGAGGTAAAGACAATTTTTTTTTTTTTTTTGTCCTAGGACGCTAGGCACGAGCCTGGGATTGTTTTTCACATTACTTCAGGCTAGACCTAGCTCGCTCCCCAATAAAGGTAAAGACAATAGTGAAAGGTTAGATGAAAAGAAAATATGTGTGGACATACTTATAGAGATGGTAAAAGTCTAAAAGCAGCTACAGCATCAAATATTACGAATAAGCTGATTTTAATCGGTGAAAAACTAATTTTCTAAGTAGTCTACATTTACATGTAAATATGGAGTAGCTTTACATAAATTTATGTAAATTACTTGTCTAGGATTGACAAAATTGTCTATACTTACAGATTTCTGGATCTTGTCTTCAACTTTCTTTGGTAGTGGCAATTCTTCAGGAGTGGGTTGCTAAAAAAAAGCCAAAAAATTCAAATCAAATTACTATTTAACGTTTAAACATAAATTAGTTGGGATTTTATCTAAAAACTTGGTGTCTCAGATAGATAATTTTGTTGTTATCAAAATTTAACAGAAACTACAAAAAACCTTGCTTAAATATCAACATGGACATGCTTTTGCTGTACTTAACTAATGAAAAGTAATGTAATGTACTTAACTAAAGTGTCCCTTTATTTAACTGTAATACAATAGATATGGCAGGAATTGTTCTATTCTTGACTTGTCATATAAGTGTGACAATACATGGAATGTATTGTCTACCATATCTAATCTAGAATTTGCTAATTGTGTATACATAGCATTAGTTAACAGTTTGACAAGGTCAAGTCATTCTGGCATAAACATATTTCCGATAGTATATGAATAAGTTCTGCTACAGGTTCGTTGCAAAAGCAGTGAGGTAAGAAATCTTGAAAGTTTTCTGGTCGCTTTCAGAAGGCAGCTGTATCAGTTCAGCGCCATAAAGAGGAATTTCTTATTTCAGCTTTTACTATTTAACTAAGTTTGGCTAGCTTTATCTTTAACTAAGTTGTGCAGACTAGTGATATTGATATTAGGTTATTTTTCTAAACACATTGATAAAATAATTTGTATAAATTGTAATTGAGTTTTAGTATGGAACAACCCAGTAGCAGCCTCAGGATTTCATTTCGGGGGGGCGATGCCCCCTCCTACCTGGTAAGATGTAAAGCCTAAAACATTTTTTTAGTTACATAAAACTATTGTATCGCATTATGAACAAATGTTTAATATCCTATTATATTTGTCAGGGGCCACCAAAATAACCATCCCCCCAATGGATCTTCACGAGAACAACATATTATTAGCAACAACAAAGTATGACAGTTAAATACCCCTGTTGCAGCAAACTTAAAGACTATGCAAATTTCCAGCCACTTTTATCTTAACAGGCTTATAAACAAAAATTTTCCACCAACATCCACACCTAAAGTAAATATATTGGCTTAATTAATACTCTTGTTTACTGCTCTGCAGTCACAGAAAATTGTTGTTAAGTTAACTTTTCAATAATAGAACAAAGAAATTTCAAAATGTACAAAGATACAGTACTACAAAAATAAATTTATAAAATGCATATATAAATACATTTTATCTTCAAGTTTGCAGGGTTTGTGCTTTACGGAAAGTGTTTTTATTACACAAACCTAATGCAATTTTAGTGAATACATAGTGGAACTTACAAAACAGAACCCTTAACCCATACTCTATTTATTAATTCTTTACTGTCATGATTTTCTTATTCTTTCACTGCTCTTTACTACTTGTGAATGAAACTGTTTTTACAGGTAACATGTAAGAAAGGGCCATGTGGCCCTAGCTGGCCTGCCATAATAAATAATCTTAATTTATTTTGGTTTTTTAACTTATCACTGTACAATTTAGTGTAACTTTAATGGCTGTGCCATTAAAAAAGAACAAAGCTACTCAAGAAGTTACACTCAACAGTTAATATACATTAAATATTAAGATCGATGTGCCTAGTTGAATCCTCACCATAAAATCTTTATATGGGTACACAGGGGTGCCCACAGGGGGGTTTGATGTCGCAAAATGCGACATCAGAATTTTATTTGGGGGGGATTTTGTGATTTTGGGGGGATTCAAGCCTGTGGTTGGTTAAAAGCACATAAAAGATTAATCAGATAATTTTTACGACCTCCTTAATTTATTACTGGGGTAATTATGCAATCAAAATCCCGTTTGACATTTTATCTTGATTAATACATCATTTTATAATTGCTATAAAATATATAGATACTTTTATCTATGCTTTTATGTGGATGGATTTCCACTTTCTGACTCGTATCATGTTTGACAGTGAGAACAACTCCATGACAACTGCTGTCAAAGGATTATGGTTGCTTATTAAATTGTATCTGCAATTTGAGTTTGTTTTAACCTTTCATTATGAACTCATTCTCAAATAGTCTCATTGCCTTGAGGACCTATTGATGGTTTTATAGGTTTGTTTATTATAATATATTCTTGATTCATAAAAAAACCAATGATAATGATAATCATTTTGCTATTTTTACAACATGAAAAACAACATGAAAGCTTGTGATAATATTTTGGCTCTCCTAAATAATTATGCCTGGGTCATTTATTCATTGGAAGAAATTGACAAACAGTACTGTGACATTTAATTAAGGTTTTTGATAGGCTATGTGTTTACGTTAACTTCAAGAACTGAAACACATGATTATGGATTAATTAAATTGTATTTGTTATTGTCTTTTCTTGAATCTAGAAAGAGCTTCAAATAAATTTTACTAGTCTTAGAATAGATATATAATTATTTTTTTACGCCACGCTACACTATTTTGACGAACTTCCCATGCAAGGATTTAGTCCAGAAAACAGCTGTTGTCCTTAATCAAATGGGGTTTCATACAGTACTACACTGTACTGTAATGAGTTTTGCTTGACACCAATCAGCTGATTATACTGTAGGGCCTATTTGGGTGGCAATGAGTGGTTATAACAAAAACACCTCTAGTGATTTTTAGTCCTTTAGTTGGTAGTAATATAGGAATTTGAACGGATTTAGTAGTATTTTACCACACTATGATGTTTTTAACTGTTTTACATAAAGGTACATTAATTGGTGGCTGAAAGTTACGTTTTGCAGGCCATGCCAGCTGTCATCGTCATTTGGGGATCGAGCAGGGTTTTACATCCCTAGGGCCGCAAAATCAGCTGCCCGCTTTAAATACACAATCAGTATCCATAGCATTGCAATAGAGTTGTTTTATTGTCACCGCTGCCTAGCAACTATTCATTATTGTTTTTGCTGATTCCTCAAACTATTTATCCACATGACCTTAAAGTTGTAGTTGTGTTGACTATATCAGTGTGCAGTGTATTATCATTGAGGTGAATTAGTGGCAATAGGGTATAGTGTGGGGTGGTGAATAATAGCGTTCGTACCACGGACTGAAATGGTTTTGCAGTTCTCGATCGTTTTAAGTCCTCAACCTCGTATCGAACTTAAAAACTACCTCGAACCAGCAAAACCTCATTTTGGCCCTAGGCACGAAATATACTATTAAGTTTAGGCCTAGTAATATTTTTGAGACTGAATATTTTACACTTATTTAAAAAGGACCAAACTCAGAAGTGGATTAAAGGGCAATTTAGAAAATATCTCAAACTTTTTGACATAACTTCAAGTACTTTCTTCCCTACAATTTAATATGGTAAAAGAATTTTTTATGTAAAAAACCTGATCCCAAAAAAGTGGTTTTCGAAGTGATGTGTGTGTCTGTCTGTATGTGTGTATGTATGGTACAGAGCTACAGACCACGCCTGTGGTCCGAGTCCGATTTTGATGAAATTTGGTATTTTAGGTACCAATCCATGGTCTCTCCAGATTTTTTTTTCATTTTAGATTTTTAATAGTGATATATTCCATTACCCTATAAAAATAATGGATAAATAAAATTTTCTCAGAATTGGCCCGAAAGATTTTGCTTAAAAATTAACATGTTACACTCTTTGACTATGGCCAATTTTTTGATTCAAATTGTGTGCATGTCAAAAATCCAACTCATTTAAATTAAAACTAAACCAACAAAATAGTTTGCTACTAGAGTTTTAAAGGAAAATTGTCCATTTTTATTGGGTTTAAAGTTTGATTCAAACGCTTAAATTCCCATAAGTTTAAAGAAGTGTCGGGGGCACCCCTTCCCTCCCCGCATTATAAACATAACTATGGGTTAGCCCCCAGACCTTCCGGCATGGGTATGGTTAAACAACGAATTTGGGGGGGGATTCTGCGACGTGAGCTTTGGGGGGGATGGGCACCCCTGTGGGTACACAGTTTTCCTAATTGACTTCAAATACACCATATAGGTTTGATTTTTCCGTTTTAATTTCATAAATTAGTATTAATTTGTTTTGTAGGAAATTAATAATGAGTTTTCAATCTTTTACTTTTAACTTTAGAACCCTCTTTGGATAGTTATGTAGGTTCAGGCTTTAATAATTAAAGGGAAATGATTTTAACAAAAATGTTAACTTGACAAACAGAATTCCATTTATTTACAAAATGTAAATTTTAAAATCTCAAATATATATATAAACAGTACTGTGCTCACACATAATATAATAAATTTACACAAAAGACAGTTTTCTCTTTACTTTAGCACAAAACAAAAGTGAGATATTCAGCACTGAAGTAGTTAAATACTGTATAATGAAATCTGTATAACAACAAAAAATAAGGTATAGTTTAAGTACTTGCAATAGTTTATAGTATATTTCTTCACCAACTCAAGGGATATAAATATCAAAACCATTTTGTCTACTCTTCTGTCTGCGACCAATTGCTTCCAAGATGTACCGAGGATTCCTGATTGGCAAATTACGTTCCCGCCTCGAATCAACAATTTCTGGCAGCATACAGTCCATGTAGAACGACTTGAGTTTCCCAATAATGAACTCGTTCCAAAAACGATCGTTCTTTTCGACTCTTTCTATCTTAATTCCTCTTGGAGTCCAAATAGTGAACAGCGCAAAGTTTCTCCCTGTAATATGCAGCTGTCCTTGAATCTGATAGAAGTATGAATGGTTTTGATTGATTCCAGAAATCTGATTGTTCTCCACCTTCCAGAATGTACTCATCACCCCTTTACGCTGCAAAATCGCTTCTTCTGGAGTCAAACTTTCTGCGGATGAAGGACATTTGACCTCAAGGATTCCTTGAGTTCCAATCAAACCGTCAGGAGTCGCAGCTAAGAAAGGAAACTCTTTGTCAATAAACATTCCACAATCCAACACCTCATAGCCTAGCTCTTTCATTTGTTTAATTGCGTTTTTCTCGTTTTCCCTGCCATACACCATACTGTAGCTCGAATATTCTTCCCCGTACAACATTTTACTCACTAAATTATCACATTTTGTGTGTGGCAACCTCCTACAGACCGTTCCAAAATTGGAGGCTGTCAGCAAATTTTTCCGTGCTCGCCACCAAAATGGACTCCCGCGTTGCAGCCTTGTTTCTATCTCAATCCGACGGATTTCCTCTTCAGTCTTTCTTTGAGAGTTCAAAAACTCTTTGACTTTTTCTTTATACGTACGGCTGTCCAAATCGGCTTGTGTGGCACAGTTGGTTTCATTCAATTGATCTATTTCTTTGTGAAACAATCTTGGTCTTCGGATTTCTTCATTGTAGCTTTTTCTTCCGTCTTCCTGTGTAACACCACTTTGCTGATTTTTCAGAAACTATTTACACAGACAAAAACTGTAGAAAAATCTGGAATCCATAAAGTTATCCAATAAAGCTTCAAACACTATTTTTGACTATATTTATGGCTAGATCTAGACCATATTGACAAATTAATATAAAATAGTTTACATTTTTATTTACTTTATAGAAACCCATTGCCATTTAACCTAACTAATATTTGAACAAAGGCGGTCGTTATATTTGTTACTACACCAGTAGTTTCAATAGTAAAACAGCTCGTCCAAGGTTGTGTGGTTATAAAATTTGTAAAGCTTTGTAGCTATATCATTGGTGATAATTATGTAAAACATTGAATTAAACCCAATTAACTATTAATATTCATTACCTTTGTGTTAGAAGGGATATTTTCTACATATACTGGGGTTGTCTCTAATGAAAATGTGGCTACTGGTATAGATTCCTGGAAAAATAAAAAGTAGCTTAATCCAAACACAAAATATCGATTATTCAATTATTTTACTGTAATTGAGGTAGTAAAAGGGGGCAGAAAAGACTTAAGGAAATTGAGAAGAAAGGAAATGGGAAGAGTTTTGTAGTTTAATTGGGAAGAATTGGGATGATGAAATAGAAAGGATAATAATATGAAATAGGTATGGCAACAGAATAGGACCAAAGTCCTAAAAAAAACTCTGGTCACTACCCCACAGTACATCATCTTGTTAGGGAGTAGATCCTGAAATCCTGGGCAGTGCTTTGATAATGTGAAGTAGGCATATTTATAAGTTGTACAATGCCTACTACTTACCATGGGGAATTTGGCTAAAGTAACTTAAATCTCAGTTAGTCTTTTGGACATTTAAAAAAACGATATAAGACTACGAAATTACCAACATTATTGACTATACTTAAACTTGACTAAGTCAACATTATCATTTAATGCACTTATAATAGATATAAGACTTGGTTTTATTTTCTTTAAAATACATATGAAGTGTTTACACAATTTTGAGATTTCTTTACAATGGAAATTTAGCTTTTAATATCATTTGATACAAACATGTAAAAAATAATTTCCACAATACTCTTTTTTAGAACAACAATAGGCGTACACATAGTAAGGGTGTAATCAAATAAAAATTTGCATAACTTACTGCACCACTGGAAATAGTTGGAGGAATTGCCGTTGATTCTTTTACCTAAAATTAATAAATTTTATTACAATAAATTATAGCCTATATTTAATTATTGTATCTAAGTGATCTATATTTGTTATAGATAAGAGCACATACTGCTTAAGACTCTAAAACACTGGGTCATAAATTTTCTCATCACTTTCCAAAATACACCTATATTTATACAAAATTCAGGCTCTTATTTAAAAATTAAGTCATGGTAGAGTATTTTAAGATATAAAAAATGTGAGATGAATCATTTTATTACTGTAATCATCTAGGCCTATAATCGCATGAAAGAAATAGGTAGTCACGTGAATAGTTTACAAGATGATTTTCCTTATTAAAACTGCCAGATTTGTTCTTTATGCGTGTAAACTAGCTGTTCTGAAGTATATTCAGTTTTAATTTACTACTTTATTCCCCTACGTAGGAAGTGTCAACAGCTAGTAAAATTAAAAATGCAATAAATATCATACAAAACTCTTGTACAAAAAACAATAAATATTACTTTAAATATTGAATGTGTTCATTTTACAATGTAATTTGGATGTTTTAATAAATAACAGCTCTAGACAATTTTTTTCTTTTAAGAACTGGGGTACTGCTTGATGTAAAAAATGTAGTAAAAAGGGGATTTATTTTTCACAATTTAAAAATATTTGGTAAATCACATTAAATTATGCTTAAACAACTAATGTACAGAGATTTAAGCCACCATAAATACATAGGTTTTATCAGGGTCATATTTGCGATTAGGCTTAGGCTGTAAAAGCACTGGCATCATGAGGGCCACCTCTTCGAGGGGCAGTTGAAGAGTTTAGAAATCTCCCCAATGGGAATAAAATGATACTCCTCAAAGTGGTATCCCAATTCGTTCAATTTCTCTCTGATCATATAAAAAATGTGCACATCTTGGAAATGGTGATACTTTATATCTAACACCCATGATAGCCGACAAAGCTCTCAGATTTCTAGCTGACACTGTGACAGGAGAAATTATTATTGAGATAAAGAATGTGATGTGATGTGGTAATAATAATTGTAACAATGACGAATCACCTGTCTGAATATGATGTTATGTGATTATTGGAAAATAAATAATAAATAAATATACGGACGTTTTGTGTGCCGTTTTTGCGTCTCAAAATGCTATTATGACTTCTGATTGGGTACAACAACGTTGCATTCCATGCATCCAAGTCAAGAATCACGTTTTACATGAAAATTGTGCAAAAAAAGGTCTGTAAAAAAGGACTCAAAAAGTTATTACATTTGTTGATGCAGCATGCTATTACCGATTATTATTATACAAAATCAGCTGTCAGGGATGTTAGTGAGGTCAGGGAGTGCACTGACAAGTGGGGTAGGGGAAGGGGGGCAGCAAACTAGCTGCCTAGAGGCGGCAGATACTTAAATACGTCCCTGACTTTTATTTCATTTCAGACCCATACCAATTTCCAACCCTTCATGTGGTCGTCTTAGTTTTGCAAATTGCAATCTGTAACATATTTAATGAAGAAACAGGATGCTAAAATTGTTGAATTAACAAGTGGTTAACTGCAATTGCATCCTTATACTTACTTGGATTGCTGGAGTGGTTGTGAGTAGTGTTTCTGTATTGGTAAAGTCTTGGCTGTTTCGGGTTGTTCGCAGGACACTTTCTGTCTGTGAGCATCACACTAATAAATACTAATAGTAATATTTATAAAGATGTATATAACTACTACATACAACTTGTATATAGCAAAAGTTGCTACCTCAAAAGTAAATAGTGTAATTAACAGCACAAGGATCATGTCATTTTTTTAAACAAAAACTGTAGTTGGAATCCTTCTGAAGCATCTGGGTATAGTACCAATCAATTTAAGGTGTATCCTTATATTTAATTAAACCAGAGGTGTTTTAAAAGTTAATAGAATTGCTATGATTTATTGATTACCTTTTTTGTAACCATAAATACTTTACAATAAATTAAAGAAAAATATTTAAGCTAGTGATACTGTCATTCCACCATAAAATAAAAATAGGTAAAGAAAGCACTACAAATAAGTTGATTTTAGGTTTGTTTAGTACTTTTGGCATATTTCCCTATTCAAACCTCTAGCAAAAAAAGTTCTAAAAATCATTTAAAGTTTGTGGTAATGTTTTTACAATGAATTCTGCCTTTATTATTATTTCACTCCAAAGAACTTAAAGGAGCTTAATCAGCAACTACCTATAGTATACAGGTGGCTCAAAATTGTTGTGAAAACTATCCTATCGGTTGCAAACTAATGAATCATAGGGCATGTAGATAATCAAAGGTACTGAATATGACAAAAATACATCTATTACAATTTTTTAGTCAACAAGTTGAACTAGTGTAACTAAGAGTGATGTCTGCACAATTAATTGACATAATTCGGCCCCGGATACGATATGAGCGACGAGCGGCGGTAAGCGACGCCGCTCAGGGCCGCTCATGGTTCCAAGTCAAAACCAATTTTCGTGAAAACACCGCTCAGGTGAGTCATGCTTCAGTTCAGCCTAAAATGACAGAGGAACAGCAGAAAACGTGCAATAGTTGTTGATACGTTAGGTGCAGTCCAGGGAATATTTGTGAAATGACCAGCACGGAGGTTTTAAAAACAATTTAGTCACCAGAAAAGTATGGGACGAAGTAAGGACTAAGTTTTTTTCTCTAAGATTTTCTTAAAAGGCGAAAAATTGTCAGATAGCAACAATAGTTGCAATATGTCTTGCTGGTAAGCACAGTTTGCCATTTTCGACAAAACTGACTCTTACAAAAGAGGAAATTTTATGAGCGTTGTAAATGTGCTGCTTGTATCGTAGCCACCACCGCCGCTCAGGTTGCCGCTCGCCACTTGCCGCTCACTGCTCGTATCGTACCCGAGGCCTAAGACGTTTACTTTTGTATACACAGTAAAGGCTATACTAAACAAAACACAACTTACTGTAGTTTTCCTAGTTGCCTTGGGCTTTATTATGTCTCCTGCTTTATTTAGGATTTTATCGTAAGCTCTCACAGTAGTCTTTTTCTTGGACGATTCTGCCAATGTTTTGTGACTGGAGGATGAATGTGTGACTTGAGATTGTTTTTGTGTAGTGTGAACTTCTGAATGTTTTATAACTGGTTGTTGTGTAGTCATTGGTGGTGTGACAGGTTCTTGTGTGACCAGTTTATGTGTAACCGGTTCTTGTGTGACCAGTTTTTGTGTAACCGGTTCTTGTGTGACCAGTTTTTGTGTAACAGGTTGTTGCGTACCAGGTTGTTGCGTAGCAGGTTCTTGTGTAACAGATTTTTGGGTAACAGGTTGTTGCGTAGCAGGTTCTTGTGTAACTGGTACTTGTGTAACAGGTACTTGTGTAGCCAATTGTTGCGTCACAGGTTTTTGTGGAATTGGTAATAGTGTAATAGGTTCAGATGTAGCCGGATGTTGTGTAATAGGCTGTTGTACAACTGGTTTTTGGGTAGCCATTTCCAGTGTAACCGGTTCTTTTGTAAAAGGCAGTTGTGTAGCTGTGTTTTGAGTAACCGTTTGTTTTGTAGGTGATTGTTGAGTAATTGGTTGATGTGTAGGCGGTTGCGTTTTTGGTTGTGGTGTAACCAGTTGCTGAGTAACCCTTTGTCTTGAAGAAGTTTGTAATGTAACTGGTTTTTCGGTAATTTTTTGTTTGGTCGGCTGTATCAACTGTTTAGTTGCGGTGATTGAGGAAGCCGACTTTGTCAAAGTCGGATCAGGTTTTTGTGATTGTAACGTAGTTTGATCAGCAACAAATGATTCTGTTCTAATGGCATTAGACAATGAGGGTAGTTGTGTCACAGGAATTTGAATAGTTACTGCATTTATTGTAACTGATGTTTCTGTCATAGAATTTGGGGTTTGAGAGATAGTTGCAGAGGCCAAAGTTGGTTTCAAATCACTTTTTTTACTTGAAAACGCTTCAGTTACAGATTTTTTTTGTAAGTTTGTTATAGTTGGGTTACTTGGAATTTCTGTTCCACTAATCTTACTCACTTGGCTCATAGTGTTTTCAGTTGTAATTGGCATTTTAATATTTTGGTCATTTACAGGCTTTGTATTTATGATCGGTTTATTATTTGTGATTGATTCAGAAATAGTTGGTAGAGGAGAAGGAACTGATGGAGAAACCTTGGATTGGGGTATTGGTTGTTTTGAAGACAGAATCTTTTCTGTTGGTTTTAAATTAGGCTGCAAAGTAATTGTTTTCAGATCTTGCTGATCTTTTGAATTAGGTCTGTTAGCTTGGGAAAGAGCAAGAGTCTGTGGAATAACTGTCGATTCTGGTTTTGATTGAGTAGTTTGTGGATGGGTATGAAAGGGATTGGTAGGACATTGTGGTGTAGGTTTTAGTGGAATAGATTTTACGGTTCCTTCATTATTTTCCAACATATTTGATGGTTCAAGAGAAATCTGAGGCATTGGTTTCTGAGAAGTAAGTGCCTTTTGAGGCTGTTGTTGGCCAGAGGTTGGTTTTACTGGTTGTTGTTGAGAAGCAGTTGGTTTTGGTGGCTGATCCGGGGAAGGAGTTGGTTTAAGTGTCTGTTGCTGGGAAGCAATTGGTTTAGGCGATTGTTGCAGGGAAGCAGTTGCTTTAGATGCTTGCTGATGCGAAGCAGCTGTTGTGGGTAGCTTATGCTGGGCAGCCGCTTGTTTGGGCGGTTGCTGCTGGGTAGCAGCTGGTTTGGGTGGTTGCTGCTGGGGAGCAGCTGGTTTGGGTGGTTGTTGCTGGGAAGCAATTGGTTTTAGTGGCTGTTGATGTGAAGTGACTGGTTTGGGTGGCTGTTGCTGGGAAACAGTTGGTTTGGGTGGTTGCTGGGAAGCCGCTTGTTTGGGTGGTTGTTGCTGGGAAGCAGTTGGTTTGGGTGGTTGCTGTTGGGGAGGAGCAGGTTTGGGTGGTTGCTGTTGGGAAAGAGCTGGTTTTGGTGACTTTTGCTGGGAAGCAGTTGGGTTGGGTGGTTGCTGGGAAGCTGCTTGTTTGGGTGGTTGTTGCTGGGAAGGGGCTGGTTTGGGTGGTTGATGCTGGGAAGCAGTTGGTTTGGGTGGTTGCTGTTGGGGAGGAGCAGGTTTGGGTGATTGCTGTTGGGAAGCAACTGGTTTGGGTAGTTGTTGCTGAGAAGGGGCTGGTTTGGGTGGTTTCTGTTGGGGAGGAGCAGGTTTGGGTGGTTGCTGTTGGGAAGAAGCTGGTTTTGGTGTATGTTGCTGGGAAGCAGTTGGTTTGGGTGGTTGCTGTTTGGCAGCATCTGGATTAGGTTTTTGTCCCTGAGAAGCAGCTGGGTTGGGCGGTTGTAGTCGGGAAGCAGCTGGTTTGGTTGGTTGCAGATGGGAAACAGGCGGATTAGGTAGTTGTTGTTGAGAAGTGGCTAGTTTAGGTTGTTGTACCTGGGAAACTGCTGTTTTGGGAGGGAAGGTTGGGGAAACTTTAGGCAAATGAGCTGCTCGATGTGGAATTTGATTGGAGGGAGATGATTTTGGAGTCTGTGATAGTTCTTTTTGTGGATTTATAATATTTTTTGTTTTATCGCCATCATTTTGGTTTAACAATGGTTTATCTACAACAGATGGCTCAGTCTGGTTTGTAATGTCAGGATTTGAATTTTGTTTTGATTTAAATAAGTGAGATGCAGCGTATGAGAGTGATTCTTGAACAATTTGTTTAAATTTGGATTTCACTGTTGTAGAAGGCATCTTCTCAGTCATAGGCCATTGAGTTGTATTGCTTACGGTTTTGTTAGAAGGTGTCTTTACCTCAAATTGTGGTGGCTGGAGTGGGCTTTTTGGAGAATTTTGAGTCTTCGTACTTGATAAAGAAATTTTATCCTCTGCAGCCTGGAGTGGTGGCTTTACTTCTGACTGTGATTTTGTTGATACGTTATTTTGAAAACTCTTAACTGCTTGGGCGTCATTCTTATCCTTAGATTTTGAATTTTGTTTCAATTTATTCTCTTCTCTTTCTTCAAGGGCCAATTTTGAATTTTGAAAAGTTTTTAAGGTTTTACTAGAGTTTGATGGTTTTGTTGACTGTTGGGTCTGAAAAAGTTAAATTTCTTTTACTTTAGGGCCAGTTTTATCCTAAAAGTTATTTCTGATAAATTCACTAAACTGGATTTTTTTTTTTTATTGGCAAATATTGTTTGACTAAGTAAATTTTAAATCTTCACATAAATAAACTTAATTATTCTCATTGAGTGTAGAGGCTTTCACAAAAAATTTCTTTACTTTATCCAATTTACTGCTTTTATATTTTCACTAGATAACCTAATGAAAATCATATCATAGTATGTAAGATAAATTCCAATATATTCGACGAGTATATTTTGGTTTATCAAGACGTGCTTTTTCATGACTGGCAGTATGTGTAGGGAAATAAAATTTCTAGCTAACTTTCACAAAGTCCGTCATTTTCATTGATTAGCTTATTTTCATTGTCCGTCAAATGGCTTCATAATCAAATGTTACATTAATTTTAAAATCCGATGGAACCCGTGTGAAAGTTGCACATTTTAATAAAGTTAAAAACTTATTTTCTGAGGTAAAACGAATACCTAATGAAACTTGCCTTTCAAAGATTATCTTTGTTGTTGAGGTGAATAAAACTAATAATTTACTATAAATTAAACTTGTTAATTGTTGATCTGCCATAAAGAGTAATTTGCCTATCTCAATCAGGTCGAATCAACGATGTAAATTACTACTGGATTGCGCTCTCAGTGGCGTAGCGGGCGCTGTTTTCGGTCTAGCTTCCCCCACCATCTACTGGCAGACACCGCCGCAGCCCATACACTCACCATTATAAAACACACATTTTTAGTCGCTGGCCTGTTGAAATATGTAGCGATAAAATATTGCTAACGCATATTAAACTATTTTTAATATTCAAAATTTTATGTCTGTTAGGTTTCTTGCAGAAAATAACACATGGGAATTCTTTAAACTACATATTCACTACACACTAGATGTTTTTAGTCAACTGATATTGCTAGTTCCAAATTATGTATGGTAAATTAATAATTAGTAATGGCAAATAAAGGATATAAAAAACAATATGTGTAATTTCAAACCCATCATTAAACAAAAACGTATTAGGCCTACTACACATTAAATGTTTCTGAATAGAATAAATCTGTTCAGGTTTTTCTGCATACATATGTTTGGCGTAAACGCGATACTTTTTCTTTCGCTTTTTTGTGATTTTTTTTTGTAAGAAACATTCTCATCACACAGTGAAAGAAAAAAGTAGGTATTGTGTTTAAGTGAAACATAGGTCTGCGGCAAAAACCTAAAAAAATTGTTCTAATCAGAAATGTTTAATATGTAATATGTTTTTGTTGAATAAAATATGTTGAAATTACAAATATTGTACTGTCTATAATTTTTTTGCAATTACTTAATATTTTACCATGTAAAATTTGGAACTAGCAATATCAGTAGTTGTTCTAAAACTTCTAAAATCGAGATTAGTGAATGTTTAGTTTAACAGAATTAAAATAGGTTATTTTCTGCAAGAAACAAAACTGATATAAAGCATTGAATAGTTTAAACATGAGTTTGACATGCATTAGCAATATATTATCTCTAAATATTTCAACAGAGCGGCAACTGAAAAGGTGCGTTTTATAATGGTGAATGTATGGGCTACGTCGGCTTCTGCCAGTAGATGGTGGGGGAAGCTAGACCGCGCAGCCAACACTGAGCCAGCGATCCATGAGTTGTTTATATCGTCGGGTTGAATAATCAATAAAAGTAGCCAATTCAATATATTTGTCTATACTTTTATTTTCTTGTTTAGAATCTAATTTTGGTTTTAAACATTCAACTGAAAGGATCAAAAGTTGGTCAGTATCAGGTTTGATTTTTGAAAGCAAACTCTAGAAATAAAACCAACGCTAGGTGGCAAAGCCCTAAAGGTAATCGCCCTTACATAGTTACCATTCCTCACTCCGCCAAGCGATAAATCGTAAACTTAAAATTACACCTCGTAAAAATTGGTTAAGTAGGACTGGTCAACGGGATGTAACAAAGAACCCCCTTGTTGTACTAAGTATAGATTCAATATACCATTACAATATCAGATTTCCACTATTATTTAGCAAAGTGACAACATAAACTCACCATTTTCGGTTTGGCCGAACTGACCTTTTCATCTTTCTGTAACAGAGTGATTTGGTTTTATTCTACCCAGAGTGTAAAGTGTCTCATGATTACTGACATGATAAATTAAAATTAGGAGTACCGGTAGTTAAACTGTTTCCTGACATTTGTTTGATGGAATATCTATTATAACAAATAATCACTAGTCTATATCAAGTAAAACCATGCATGTTGGTTGGTTAGGATTTTTTTTATATTTTTCATTTTAAGAAATAAGTTTTATAAAAGAAGGAAAATTAGAGTCTAGAAGCTATGTGGAAATACATTATAGCACTAATATGTCATCTTACATCATGAAACTGGGTGAATAGGTAAATTGAACCTCTAACAAAAAGTTTATTGAAAATTAATTTGATATTTACAGCAATATACTGAGTGAGTCTTCTAAGCTGTCCTGTCCTAAACAGATTACAGACGAACGGCTTGACATACAGAGATGAAACATAACTTTTCCCCACTAATTCATACCCAAGGAACAACGTAGGAATATTTTTACCATTTTTAAAATACAGAATGTTTGAGAAACTGGAGGTCATGGGTTCGAATCTCAGAGTTTCAAATATAAATATATGTCATGCTATGCATTATTTTGAAGCTCTAGACTAGACAATAGTTATTTGTGCAACTAGTGGGAAAAGTGAGCAATTGACTCACTCGAGAGAAATCCTTACTCACGAGCCGTAGGCGAGTGAGGAATGGTTTCTCGAGTGAGGCAATTGTACTTTGAACTCGAGTTGCACATTATACTTTTCCTACAGTTACCATAAAACAAATAAATTGGTGAAGAAACATAACCTATTTTTACACAGAAGTGAACTTTTAATATAACATTTAACGTGAAGTGACAAATACAACAGTACAACAGCTGACCAGCTGATTTACAGCCAGTGCTGCCAACGTATTTCGCGCGCATACGACGTTACCTGCATGCTACGCGCTCACTATTTCGTGCCTTCACGTTGCAAATCTGGAGTGAGACAAAGTAATTAGAGTGAGACAATGTTAACATTGTCTCACTGATGAGCGAATTGGCCACTTTGCTTTCTCAAATCAGTGAGATAACATGTACATTGTTAGGTAACTGTAGGAAAACAATTTTTTTGAAAACAGAACTTCTTTATCTTTATCCGTTTCAAATTGGCGGCCATTTGTATGGAAAATATTGATATTTACAGAATATCCTGTATCTTGGAAACCACTCAACTTATATTCGTACTATTTGAAAATTCTTAATCTTAGCGAGTTCAGCTTTAATTTTATATACAACATGTCAACATTTTAAAACTAAATACTTTTTCAAAGATTTTATTTTTTTAATGTTGGTAGCCTTGTAAATGAAAAATTTAAAACGGCAACATATGTCAAATGGCGTATCATTTTGAAGATCTTTCAAAAACAAACAACTTTTGAATTTACACCCACCGTCTATCTTTTGTCGTTTTCTAGTAATTAACGAAAAACTCCAACTGCCCATATAAAACCCATGTTAAACATGCAGTACTGTATTGAATAGTGTATTTGCATCCACTAATCTCCAGTTTTTAAAATTTTGACATGTTGCATATAAAATAAAAGCTGACCTCACAAGGATTAAGAATTTTCAAACAGAACTAAAATAAGTTTAGTGGTGTCCAAGATACAGGGTATTCTGTAAATATCAATATTTTCCATACAAATGGTCTCCATTTTAAAACGAATGAAGATAAAGGAGTTCTGTTTTTGTTTTTAGTAAATTGTTTGTCTAGTCTAGAGCTTTAAGATGATGCATAACATAAAATATGTTTACATTTGAAAACTATGAGATTCAAACCTATGACCCCCAGTTTCTCGAACACCCTGTATTTTGAAAATTATAAGAATATTTTTATGTTGTTCCTTGGGTATGAATTAGTGGGAAAAAGTTTTTTTTTATCTCTGTATGTCAAGCCGTTTGTCTGTTGTTTAGGTCAGTTTAGAAGACTTACCCTGTATATACTTTAGTATTGTGTTGCACTATCTACATTTTGTCCAATAATACAAGCCAGTGAAGAAAATAAACTATTATTGCAAACCGACAATAGTGACAACCTTTGAATTTCACAAGAGTTTATAGCAAATATTGGAGGGTTTTTATAACAACCCTAAGCTATAAATATATATATTCTGTCTCAAATTTAATAAAGTAAAAATAATCTTTTTCCATAGAATAATGCTAAGTATTGCCTAGCCAGTAGTCCAGATTTTTTTGCCAGTACACCCAAAAAAATCTTAAGAGTTATTTTATTAAAATAGAACAAAAACTAATTTTAGCTAAACAAAATTTAGGCGGTTGAAGGGGAAGTTCCCTCATCACTTATTTTTGCTTGATGTATATGTAATGTTGGAAGTGATTGAAAGTTTTCCAAAACTCAGCTGCTGAGCTATTGTTTTAATGGTAGGATCAAGTGGAGGTAATTTCTTCCCCTAAAATCGCCTAAATTTTGTGAACGGAGTAGATCAACTAAAGCTTTGCCCCCATCTAAAACACCAAAATTGCCAGCCTGTTTTTTTTATGTTTTTTTTTATGTCACTGGTATGATAAAAGCCAAGCAAAGGTCCTCCCCAAAAACACTACATTACATAGCCAGTTTTAAAAGCTGTGTTGATAAATTAATATAACTATGTATATAATTTATAAAGAGAAAAACCAACATACTTTTTACTTACAGAAGAACTGAAATCAAAACTAATTTCTTCAGTTTTGATAATGTCTTCTCCTCTTGGAGCAGCCCCGTAATCCTCCTGAAACAAATTAAATGTCAAACTTTTAAGCTTTAAAAGATCTTTAGTTCAGAAAGTTTGAAAACAGTTTTTAAGCTATATATTAAGAGATTGACTTGAAAGATTTTGATGAACTCATGGATGGATACAAAATTATTCTTCCATACAAATCATATTTAGTAAAAGCCATAAACTCAGATAAAAAATGTATAATTTATAGCTGTAAAATAGTAAAACAATTTTTTAGTTCTTAACACTGTTTCTGCTGTTTTGTTTTAGCTACAGTATTAAGTTTTTAGTTTAATTGTTATTTCTTTCTATTGATTTCCGGACTGAATCAAACCTTCAATTTCAGACTTTGTATCTGAAAACCTCTCAAAGAAATGGTTTTGTAGAAAAACTACATACTGATAAGGCTGGGGTACCACTTGAATTTATTTATTTTTTACTACAGTATTCTAGCACTTAGAAGTCAGATTTTCTTGTTAAATTTATTTATTGTTGACAAGTTGTATCCCTTACTTCTTTTTGATTGTTTAAACTATCAACAACCTATACTAAATTACTTACATAAGTCTCCCTTCTGCTTAAGATTGGGTACGGAGTTCTTTTGAATTTATTTTTGTCGAGGCCGTACTTTGCATCAAAGTCACTTGGAATATCTGGTCTCTAAAATAATGAAAATGTAAGAAGGATTTTTAAGACCAATAGCCCAATATGTGTTAGTGATCAGAAAATTGCTTAAGAAGGAAGATGATGCCACACAAGTTGGCAAAAAGCACATAGAATGATACACAGTCATCTCGATCAAAGAAACATAAGCATTAATTTGTTTTCACTCTGTATAAAAGAGTCTAAATCAATGGTATATTTCTACTGGACTGCATAAAAGTCTAAAAATTTCTTTGATTACCAAAAAAGTAAGGTGGTGCCAATTATTTTTCTGAACATAGTACAAACTTTAGAACTAAGTCAAAGGGCTTTTACATTCAAACAATATCAATTGATCTCTGGCTGATTTTCCCTGATACAAAATACTTTTAAACTTTCTTAGTGAGAATACTAGTACAAGAGGCACAAAATATATCTACCGGTACAGAACACAGCCACAGTTCAAACCATTGAAAACTAATAACTGGCAGATCTTCACCCTTTGAGTTAACATCTTATTTCTGGGACAAGTCGTAGCATAGCCAAACTTTCACTTACAATTTTCGATATGATCTGTGTTCACTCCAAATCCGATTTGATGCAAATAAAACTTAACAAAAACTGTTGAAAGCGATACCCAAAATTTACTACAACCTGGGAGTCAAGTTACATAACTGTACTACACTTTGACTATTTGGTTGACCAGTGTCATTATTGTTTAGACAGTTAGGTCTAATCAATAGTCTAAACGAGGGTCTAAGTGGTGTAAGCGTGTGGTTTCCCTGGACAGGAAACAACACATTGCGGATTAAGGATTTAATCCTGTCTAGGTCTAGTCTGCAAAACATGAGAAGTTGTCCTCTATCCTCTATATAGTAGAGCTTGGTGTAAGAGACACAACTCAAATAAACCATGGACAGCTCCGGTGAAAATTAACAGGATGGGTGAATTATTTTTTATTATTGCACCTGAAATCAGACATTTTGCTACTTTTTTCTTATCCTTACTGTATGTGTCTTCAACAAACACTTTTTGAAATAATTTTGATTTTTATGGTAATAAATGGAGAAAAAAGTTATATAAATCTGCTATAAAAATATTTTTTATTTATGAGAAAACTAGCAACTTACGTCAGGTTCCTCGCTGTCGAATGTTGTGGCCAAACTCAGATCTCGACCCACACTTGTACTTTTCTATGAAAATATTAAATTCCTTTAGTAAAAAAAAATAACAACCTTATTTTATTTGAACACACATGTTTATAAAATTGCTTAAACTTTATATTTAGAATCAAATCAAATAATTTATTCAGCCAGAATTATTAACAATATACAAGTTGTATTGGCTAAGTCAAAATGAAATAAAAGTTGGATTCATATACTTAAGAACTATTTACAAATATACAATCTTATACAATATACAATGGTGCAGATTTATATATAAGTATTTGCATCACTATTAATGGAACTGAGTTTAGATGTAAATTCTTGGACGCTATAACAGGTAAACTTAATCAACAAAGATTTTAATTGGCTTTTCAATTTTAACAGGTTTGGTTCAAGTTTAAGAAAAAGTGGAAGTGAATTAAAAAGTGTTATGCCATTGTACAGTAAGTGTTTCTTGAAGAAGGTTGTTGAATGTTTAGGAATAGGTAATGTGTGTGAATTGCGCAATGTGTATTGGTTTTTTACAGAAAAATCAAATTTAGAAAAGTAATTTTCTCAAAATCCCTAATGGGGTTTTGTTATTGAGGCTAGTTAGAGTCTTACAGTAGACTTCCTCTTATCCGGACTCCTCGGGACCGAGGATTTCCGGTTAAAAACTCGTTAAAACGGACTGTAAACTGTGATATTCGACTTAAATTTAGGATAGCATATTTTATTTAGACACGTGATCACTGGTCTCAAATCTTTCCCACGAGAACAGTCGTTTCAGTACTGCCCACTTCCTGCCGATCTAGTCCGCTTAAAACAATGTGCTGATAAAAATTGTCCGGTTAAAGAGATACTACATTTCCGCCAAGTGTAGTCCGGTTAAACCGATGTCCGGTTAAAAGGTGTCCGGATAAGAGGGAGTCTACTGTAATGAGTTAACTTATTAAAACTCACTACTTAGCCCAAGAGCTATAGTTACCAAAAGGGTTACCGTGTGTAAATTCTGAATTTGTATTGTTCCAAAATAGGTTAACACTAATGCCGAAACCCTACCCAGGCTGACGCTAACCTAAACCCTCCGGTCTGTGAGACCCCATTTGAAAATAATGGACCCCGCTTAGAAACACACAAACCAAAACACTGGGCCTGTGAGACCCCGCTTTAAAATACACTAACGCTGGGCTTCTGAGACAGGCATGTTATGAACAGACAACCTGTCAAGGTCACGGCACCCACGCAAAATGAACAAACAATATATCAACAAGTAGGGGAGGAAAAGGGGTGAAGGTATTGGGGGAATGGAATACCCCAAGTGAACAGTGTTGCCAACATGCGTTTGTGAAAATTCCCGTGGGCCTGTCAGACTGGGGTTTCAGTAAAAGTGTTAACTAGCAGATCACAAAATTCAAAGTGTAGCTCTCCAAAACTTATACTTGAAGCCCAATATTAAAAAAAAAAAAAAACCATTAAAAATGTATTGGGCTTAATGTCTAAAAATCATTCCATGCAAAAATAGCAATGTGAAGAACTAATTTACTAACTTTACAATAAGACTCAGCATTATAAGTGTTTCAACAAATTAAACTCTTTGACTTCCACACTTCAACCAGAGGACTTCAATTTCCGTCATTATTAATTGTAGGAGTAATCATGGCATCCAGCAGATAACTAGTCAAAATTGATCCCTATTGTAACATATAGCCTAATCACCATTTTGAAAATATTTAGCTACGGTACAGCATGAATATACTTATAACAAAAAAATCATTTTACTATGGAAGATGCATTTTACTACAACAGTACTGCCCAACTAATCAAAAGTTGTTTATTTCAGGATTGCAAGTGGCAACAAACTTATTTATTCTAATTGCAATTTCAGGGGTTGTTTATTGAATCTATAAAGTAGGCCTATGCAAAAGTCCTCAACTTTTTTGATCGCATTCTTGGTCTATTATCACCAGAAATACAATATTTTACTCACAAGCCATCTTCTGTTCAAAGTAGAAACAGACATTTGCGACTCGCGTACAGTCTTCGAGTCATCAGATTCCGTAGTACCCAAAACTTGAGAGACCGCCACCAAGAAAAGGAGGAAAATATAAAACATATTACCTAAAGGTGATTCATGTTTAGTAACTTTGAACACAAAAGGGCCCACTCCAGACCGTAATCTTCTGAAGAATCTGAAGACTAAATAGTTATACAATATGTAATTACTACAATGACAAGTGATTAAATCGTACTATCTGATTGAAACATTGTTGAACTCTCTAGCTACGTGTGAATGTGGGATGATTTTTTGTTAAGTGTTTTTTTTTTCTTTTGTGAGTGTGTTTACCTTATAGAACAATTTAAATTTGTAAATTAAAACAAAATTCATTATAGCCTAGGCACAGTGCTCAAATCATTTTTATGTATCATTGTCCTATGGAAAGTGTTAACAATTTTAAGTAGGTAAATACCACAAAGTTACATAAGCTATAATAATTTTGTTTGTACATTATCAATTTGTTCAATAACAATGGGACTGACTAAACTTCAATGACTTGCTGAAAATTAATAACATTTTCTCCTACAAGTAACTTATAAAATATTTTCAAAATTATAAGTGTATTTAGCAACAAACAGAAGTGTTGTAGTAAAGCCATTCCACATGGAAATATTTTAACAATTTGATAAAATGTTACTTCATCAGTTGCTTAAAAGTCTATATTTAATCAAAGAACTGATTTGAAATTTAATCAGGGGGTAAAATTCCAGGGGTATAAAAATCCGCTACCCCTTTTATCTATGGTTATAATTAAATCTAGTAACGTACATATGGTAGAATAGATGCAGTTTGTTATAATTCAATATAAAACCATGTATCTTGGTCCTTGGTAATTGTTATTGGATAGACACATAGACAGACGTCGACGACCTTTTCTAAAATAATAGACTTCTCATCCCATGTAAATTTTGAAGCTAGTTTTTTTTTTCGTTTCTAGTTGATGGCCTGTGTCAACGATCGCTAGTGTTAACGAAATTTTATTGGGATTATTTGAGGGTTAATTTAATGAGTTGGTCATAGTCCAGGACTATGGTCAAGGGAGGGGTTTTCAAACAGCTAACTTTAGGAGGGGGGGGGGGGGGTTGAGGGCCACAGCCCTAACCTTAGAAAAGAAATAATGTAGTTCTTTAGGGTCATTAAAAAAGTAACTATAATGGCCAGCATGAAAAACAAGTGTAAGATGTTATTTAAAAATGTAAATACAGTAGTTGATTTTTTGCTATGTGTAGCTTATATACCCACTAGTAGGCCTAGAGTCGGGACCACGTAAGTTTGCAGTTGGTGGAAGCCAATCACAAGACAAGGCTGGTGCAACTTTGCCACATCGCACTAATAAAATATACTAAGCAATATTGTCAAATCAGCTGGTATTATAAGATTTGGCAACACCGCACGGTTCTCATTGGTTCATTCAAACCCATATGGTAAATAGGCTCCTCCCTCAACTGCAAACTTATGTGGTCCCGACTCTAAACATTTGATTTTTTAAATGATCCTCTTTTGCACAGTTCCACTAGAGAACTCATAATAAGGTAAACATAGCAGTGAGGTCCAGTTTTTTTCAGTACCTATGTTATGTATTGACTATTGAAAAACCTCGTCCGGGCGGCCGCGGTTTCTTAGTGTTTTCTTCAAGTTTCTGTAGTCTAATAAGTCGAAATGCATATATTGTATATTTAATTATTTTTTGACCATTATTTATATGCAGTAAAAGTAGGTTCCCACATTTTTATTTTTGAAACATCACAGTTTATTTGACAAAAATAAAAAATGGAAGCAATGAAATATTGCCAATGGAAGTATTTTGGAAAACGCCTGTGTGGCCTTTAAGAATTAAGAAGGAAGAAAATAGTAATGTTTTAAAGAAGTTATAACCAAATTAGGTACCATTTTAAATCATTGATAATTGGTAAGAATAAAATAATAATGACGTTTAAAAAACCAATTACTTCTTTAATGAGACAGTATTAATAAATCTTGCTTGGTCTTTTCCCAAACTTGTCTAAGAATGGATGCCCGTCTGAAACTGGTGTAGCGTCAGGAACAAAGATAAACTGAAACCATAAAGATTTTATTATTATTTCAGTTTACAAGAAAACATTTCCTGAAAACATTCCATATTTTTTATGTGCTAGTAATTCTTCCCAGCATCTAAATAATCCTAAATTTTGCTTACTTCAGCCCTCATCTGAATTAATTATTAACTAATAGATTTCTTTTGGCATCATAACTTAGTATTTTGTACATTGTGGACAAAATTTAAATTATGTAATGCTGGTCGAAAGATTCCCTTGGCTTGAGGATTTATTAGGATAACTACCTGGCGGTTTATGTGTTTTGTTTCGTTGCTTTCTAGTTTAGTTGACAAACAAATAAAGCGATGTCTGAAAAATATTTTGAGGACATTCTGTGCTGGACAAAGGCCATATCTTGATCAAGTAGTTAGGGTTTGCTGCTACAAGAGCATACTGAAATGGGGAAGCAGTAGCCACGGGAACAGCAGGATGTCATAGGAAGAAATAGGTCAGGTACTGGACTGGAATCATCAGAGGCGATGAAGAAGTGGAATGTAATTAAGGAAATAAAGTAATATAAGAAGAGCTGGAGGGATGTAAAGGTTTAAGGAAGGTTTACTAGCCCTGTTGTCAAGCCCTTATGTGTAGGGATGGGTCAACCTTCGATGGTAATATCGGCATCTACTATTGTATATTGCTGACACTGTCATCAATGTTGTTTGATGGTATTGTTAGACTGGGACGGTGGTATCGTCCTGTAATCCATAACTACTATAGGAGGTCATGAATTGTGGATATTTATAGGTATGGACTGTGGATGTGATACTCTCTGGTGTGGATTAACGTCTGCACTAGTGAGTACTACAACTATCCGCAGTACTATCCTGATAATTAGACCAATTTGTTAATACCAAAGCAAAAATGTGATTTGGATTTCACAATAAAATGTAGGTCCCTTAGTTGCCATTAACTGTATGGGCTATTAATTAATTAACAGCAGTGTCTTAGGAATATGTCGAACTTAGTCACTAACAAGACTACAAGATCGCGCCACTCATCCTACAATCATCCTTCACTCATATTTGGGTTAAAATACACACATAGAGGCGTCCCCATCTTAAAATAATTAATATAATTGATAGATGTGTTTTTACTGGTTTCTGTCATCTTCAGTTAATTAATGGTTGTCCAAAACATTAACAAATAACATTTGTCAAAAACATTAATATAACAAAAGCTTCGACCGCCTACCATCCATTTAAATCATCGAACATCAAACAAAAAAGACCAATGTTTTAAAAACATTGGTTATTGATGCTCATCCGAAGCCCTAAGCTCCAATAGGAATTTAGTATCTAACAGAAGAATCTCTTACATCTCCTCGACTATCTTCTGGTTCTTCTGTAGTCGGAGTCTCCGTTGTTACTTCTCCTCTCCTTCTAGGCGGAGGACGGTTGGTGTAAGTGGTAGGGTGGTTTCGCCATCTGTACTGAACAAGTAAGAGTTTGCTTTGACTTCAAAAAATACCAGAGTGTCAAGGATAAAATAATCATACTATCTTAAGACTAAAAAGACTTTAATACAGATCATGCCCTCATATGTCCTGTTGGTGGCCGAATTATAAAACGGCACAGTGAATAAATTAGAGATGCTTTAGGAAACATTATGGAACAGGTATGGTGGAATTGTATAAAAGAGCCCCTTATAACAGACAGAGAATGAAAATTTAAACGGGCCTGCAATTAAAGCTGACTTGGCATGTAGAGGGGTATGGGTGACACAGAGGGAAGCATTATTTGACATCCGTGTCGTAGACACTGATGCTCCCTCTTATATCTTCAAACCTCATGACAATGTCATAAAAAATGCAGAAGAAGATAAGAAAAGAACGTATATGTTAGCATGTGAGTGCCAGAATGCCTCTTTCACTCCCCTGATAACATCAGTCTGCGGAATCATAAGTAAGTTGCAACTGTGAGAACGAGAATTAATCAAATTACCATGCCTTTTTGATATGTATTGTTATATGAGTAACAAAACAGCACGGAGGCGGCTGGACACTAAATCAGGAAAATAGGGGGCTCGCGATTGCTCAGCCCAGGGGCCCGTGACCGCTCTCGCTGGCCCTGTTTTCAAACACTGATAAGAGCACTGGCTGAGAGGCTGTCAGAAAAATTGGGCAAACCTTACAGTCTGGTTGTTAATTGGATTAGAGTGACATTGACTTGCTCAATTTTAAGGGCAATGAGCATGTGCTTGAGAAGATCTAGAAAAAAATGGAGATCTGCTCAAAAATTTGAAGATGGAACAGGCATTCAACATGTATATTGAGAGAGTCTAAATTTGTAGTAAACATTTTGTAAATTTAGATTAATTGATCTTGTAATTATAAAAAAAATATCATTCCCTAGATTTACATATAACTGGTATAACTTCACAAGACAAATTGACACCCAACATTTTATTACACAAAATTGAGGACGCAAGCTTATATTGAAATTAGAAGAAGTGAGACGAAATTATGTGACTATACTTATTTTAGAAGGCTACTTTCAGTATCCATGATCTATGTGTGGAGTGGTACAAACAGATCTTGAGAATATTTGGATGAACATCATTGGCCAAAGACTGCTCTGTGTAATAATGATTTTCACACTAGCAAAGCTCAATCCCCAGGTACTTTCTAAGGTTATTGCACACAAACTTACCACTCTGTACATAGGGAGCTCATCTTTTTCCGTTGTCAGGTGTGGAAAGAATTTGTCAAAAGGCTGTAACAATGAGTGGAAATTTTGTTGTATACACATCATTATAACATTTGCATTAATTGAATAAAGTGTTTACCTTTGTAATCCATAGATTCACACCTCACCCTTAACAGTAGGTGTACTAGAAAAGGAAATTTCATCCCTGAAATACACTCTAGAATAGTTTATACTAGTAAATTCTATTAACAAGAAATGGGAAAAAGTGTGCACCCTATAGGTTAGTTTTTAATTCAATAAACGATCACACATGAATTCTACCTGGATCATTGTGGAATCAGTTAATTGTGTATGAATCATGAAATAGTTCCTCTGAAATTCTAACAGTTTATGTGACTCCTTTTCGACCAAAATTAACTTTTCATATTATACCTAACATTTGAAATTTTTTAATTGAATTGAATTTTTTGATCTGGGTAGCTTGATAGGTTGTTGTACTCGACTAGTAATAGGAAAGTTGGCAGTCCAATCATTAGAAAATTCAGTTTAATTTTTGTGTGCTGAATTGGACCTGGCTATCCTTGTTTAATCATATTTTAAAAATAGTGCTGGCTTGGAAAATAGCTTGTCTGAAAAGCTGGTTAGAAAAATTAATGGACACGATTGAAAGTCGGTCAATGATATTACAAGTCAAAATACATCAAAACTGACTTTAAATTTTATAACTGGATGAGAAACGATTGTGTAGTATAAAAAATGGCACAATGGTAAAATGGTGGAATTAATAGACTACAAAGTTGAAAGGGTATGTACAAACATAGCCGAAGATAAAAAATTGAATGCCATTCATAGATAAAACATACTCCTTAGTAGATTTCCCATCCTTGTGGAACAGCTGAAGCCAATTATATTGTTAGTTCTGTTCGGTGTACTGTAGATGTTGTGTTTTGCTTACAGTTTGTTTTTATTCTTTTAGTGTTAGTTTCTCATGATTTGTGCCTCACTGTTTTTTGGTTAGGCTGAGCGCACACGGTAGATTTTTTGATCGGCCGATTAAAAAATCAACCAAAAATAAATCGCCCCTGATTTATGTCTAGGCGCACACGTGGCGATTTTTAGTTGAGAAATTTTTTCGAATGCGTTGTTAAGCTATCCTAAATGGACTTTGATGAATTAAACTTGTGTTTGTGCTCTTCTGATTAGATCAAAGAAAAAATAGAAGACATTATAAATATTGGGTTCATTCGATAGGAAGTCAGAGACTTTAAATGGACCGTTTATACCCTTGTTTAAGTGATGACAGTAAAAGTTCTTTAATTACTAAAGAATATCTGATGAAAGTGTTGATAAACTGTTACTATTAGTTGGACAACAGATTGGACTATCTTTTTACCAAAAAAGTACCTGGTAATAAAATGTTAATCCAGCTTTAATTGAATAGGGGTAAACTCGGAAATAAAACTTACAAAAGTTTGAGTAAACATGTTTTAATGGCTGTAAAGATCTTATAGTTTTAAATCCAATGGAATATCGGTTACTGGCCGATTTTTTAGTCGACCGTGTGCGGGGACAGGTAGCAACCTGTACGTTACAGATTCCCGGCCGACAATCGCCTCGCCTACGAATCTGCAGCAAAATGCAGATTTTAAAGTCGGCACAATTTTCGATTGCCTGTGTGCGCGCTTCCATTCTAATACATGATGAACAGATCGGCCGATGAAATAATCGCCTCAAAATAATCGCTCGTGTGCGCCTAATCTTATATAGCTAGTGGACAAGTTATTGTTTATGATTAGATAGTTTCATTTGGTTAAACGAGGTTTTAAATTACTGAAATAGCAAGAAACGAATTGTAAACAAAACACCACTGTACAGTACACCAGACAGAACTAACAGTAAAATTGGCTTCAGCTGTTCCATAAGGATGGGAAATCTACTAAGGAGTATGTTTTATCTATGCTATAGCCTACTATACCGAGGATAAGTTGACAACTTACGTTATAGCCTTCAGTTTTACTGTCATCTGCTTTTGTCCCAACCACAGACACACACAACACAAAGCAAACATAGAGGAGATCAGACATGCTCTTATCAAACTACATCCCAGATAGCTTCAGTGATAACATACTCACACAAATAATTAGGTGTTCTACCTAATTCAAAATATATCATCTAAAACCTACCTTCTTAAACTTCATTACAGAGGGTTTTTATGGCTCAAGCAATATGCTTCAATCAAACAGCTGATCAACAATAAGTGGCAAAACTTAAACCGCAATGCAGTTTCTTTTGAATAGTTCAAATTAAATAAATGATTTCAAGAACTGTTTGATGACACGGTTCCACCTCCACATTAAGGTTTTATAAGCAGAATGTAAAATATATAAAATTATATTGTGATCAACTAAAACCCAGACAAAAATGGGGTAGTAATAAAATTTATGATCACATTTTTACTGAAATAGCCATTTATTATACAGTCCCAAGGCCCTATTAATTTATTGGATGATTTGTACAAACTATTGCAACACCTTAATGCATATAAAACATATATTACAAAATCGGGTACAAAACCTAAATCATATAAATTACTATGAAACAAAAGACAGTGCTGATAGCTTAAGTTTATTATGAAGGTGGTTTAAAATTATATATACATTAGGTTTAAAAAAAATGAATATCCTACAATATAATACAATGAGTTAACGCGCCACAAGTTGAAGTACTGCTAAAAAATATGAAAGAAAATTAAAGAAAAAACCATTCTATGGTAATTTATAGATTGTTATCCAAATATTTACGAGTCTAAATAATTTTTCTAGGATTTACAAAATATTGATTTCTGCTAGCTTACCTGAAAATATTTGAGTCCAAGAGTAATAGATACACAATAAAAGAACACAAAACATAATTCTAATATTTTATCCAACATCAGGACAAAATATCAGTGTTATGATTTGTGTTCTTTATGATATAGCCTTTTGACTCTAGTTTGCTAGTAGTAGGTAAGCTAGCTGGACTCTATTCCTTTAAAAAATTATAAAAATCCAAATGAACCTATACTATATATACTTCTAAATGAACTATTATAATTATTTTTGATGATTTACCCTTTTAATTAGAGCCATAAAATGTCTCAGTTTTCAACATTTAACTGTCAAGTTGTATTAAAATGTTAAATAAATTATATTTATGGTATTCAATTTTGTCATAGTCTAAAAAAAATTTACTTTAAATAATTTTTAATACCAATTTGTGGTACAACGCAATTTTACTTTTGTTTAAATTCAAGCAATTATTAACACTTAAATAATGCTTAATTTACACAATGACCCCACTATATTTTTGGACATAAAAAAATAAAATAATATTTAACACAAAATGTTGTTTATTAAGTTTATGTTTATGAAAAATCATTTATTTATTTATTTATTTTTTATTTTAATTTAACCCTTTCTTAACTAAACACGAATGTTCAGTAGTACAGTATTGAAAACTCTTTCTGCTAAGACAGAAGTATGTTTATGAACGAATATTTTTGTTTCTACAGTACTATGTTTTCCAAAATGAATATGGAAAATGTGTTAATGTTGAATAAAAGTTTGGAAACAATCTAAAAAAATGTATGCATAAAAAACCACAAAACATATAATTTTCTATTTTAGTCGTAAACTTCACACTATGTGCTGGTTAGAACATAGACACTGAAATACAATATTTTATCCTTTTGTATAGTAGTTTACTAAGTTCTTTTCCACCATATGAAACCAGAATTTTAAATCGTTATAATTTTGAAGGTTTTTGCTAATCAAATGATTTTCCTCAAGAAACTTTTTATTTTTGTAGAAATAAATTACAATCTTCTTTATGTGATTTATCGCTTTGCTTGATGTAAATTCAAATCAAGGGTTAAAAAGCATTTTACTGTTTTATGAATGTGAATAACTTTTAGATAAATGTATATAACTTTCAGCTTGGCAAAAGTTAATTTACAAAAAGAACAAAAATAATTGGCAAAGATAGGTTTAGATCAATGACAATGTATTTAAAACAAGGTTGTATAATTGATTTTAACCAAACTTTTTATTTTAATTAACAACTTTTAAGAGTAATAATCAATTCTAAAATTTGTCGTCAATTAGTTTTTTTCTCTCTGTAATTCTATGTATATTGAATATCTATTATTTAATATAATGTACATTTTATTAATAGATATTCAGTAAACCTAGATATAAACTTAGCCCTACTCAGTTTGGTCAAGAAAAATAAAAATAACAAATTTTATTTCATTACATCTATGAGTATTTAAAATGCCAGTAACGTATATTGGAAAAGAAACTTTCTAACACTATAAATAATTTAAGGCAGTAAAAAGATTGTTTTCATCAATTATAATTATCTACATTTTACAAGTTAGTGAAAACAAAAGAATACAACCCGCACAATATGAATTGTTAAGTTCATAGGGCTAAAATTATCTACATTATACAGTTCTACTTACATTTGGAAATAAAAAATTGATTTTAGGAATACTAAATTTCTTAGTTTTTAAAATATACTCTGGCTAATAGGTCCACTCTTTCAAAGAATGAGAAACTTGAAAATTTTAAAGTAGTAAGACAGAAAAGCAGAGTAAACAGTTTACTGTCTGCTACAGCACTCTAAATTTTGTTGAAATATTTGTTGTTGTAAAAATGAAATAAGTAATTATTGGATACATAGCATATTTCTCTTTGCAGGTAAGCATACCAAAGTTCATTCTGTACATTTTCAATATTTGTAGGGAAGTGTTTCCCTCGCGACCAACAACACTGCTCAAAGCAACTGTTCCATTCTGCACATCCACCAAAGGCACTCAAAGTTCAAAATTTTGAGTTTTGAAAGAGCTCTTCTCGTTTCATTGCCGCCCAAGATTGTGAATCGTGGGAGAGGACGTACTTGATCGGTTAAGTCTTCGAGGTCTGTAAACAAATTGGTTATAAGTTTAGGGAAAAAAGTTTTTGAGCGAAAATAGGATCCGTCAAGGGTCTTTTCAAGAAGAGGGTTGCTACTTTTAGGATTTGCCATGTGCAAATTAAGCTGATGTAGAGTAATGGAAGTTATTATAGGTTAGGTTCTGGGTTAGGTCAGGTTGGGAAAGGGTAGACTCTATGTCCAGACACGTCAACCACATAGTTAAATGATAGCTAAAAAGGGTACAGGTTAGGTTAGGTTTGTTTCCTTACCAAATATAAGTAAAACGATTCATTTCTGTTTATAATATTATGCATGCATAGGGATCATTTAAAAAGTGACGGTGCTCTTCTTGAAAATAACCCCGTTAGGTCTTGCAGCTATTTATTTCAAACCACCAGGATTATATCCAAAGCTAGTTAAACCAAAGTATAATTTTAAACACTTTTAAGAAAAACCATAGTATTCGGGGTCATATATTTTTATTCCTGGCCAAAATATATTTAAAAACCACACAAGTCAATCCTATGTTTAAATTGAAACAATGTGAACTTACATAGTATAGTCCTGTGTATTTTGAAGTTTTTTTTTCTTAGGTGAGATAATGGATGCATTAAGCTTAAGTTTTTGATTGATTATGCTTAAGACAGTCAAGACACTTTTAATGTTATGTGCAAAACATGAAACGATTATTTCACTATGACTTTTAGTGACCAGAAAGAATGAGATGGACACGTGAAGCTAAGAGGGAGAAGAATAATTCTAGACTCAATTTCTACCGGTTTCTCGTCTTGTCAAATCAGTGTAGCTTAGATCAAATAATGCTTTATTGGGGTGCTACCGGATAGAAAACCTGAAGTAAGGAACACGATGTTGGTCTTGAATTTGAACTAGATAGCATAGCTGCCGTGGGTACTCGACGAAGACCAAAATTTACGATCAAACATCATAGCTTTATTTTGTAGTCAATAAACAAATTTTATTCTGACATTTTCACAGGCTTAGCTAGGTATGATTGATTTGATAACAACTAGATAAGATAGATGTGGATAAATTAGCCCATGATTTGCAATCAGAGTTACAACAAAATCATTAGATTTTTAAGTATTCTTGTAACTTAATATTTCTGAACCTACTTTTCGTAGATATGTCCGTACACAAATATGGCCGTAAAATTGAGGTCGCTGTCCAAAGAAGGACCAAGAAATATGGCAGAATTGCAAGATGTGAGCTACTCACAAAGAAGAATAGACAGTAGCTGTTTTTTCCCCGAGTCAATTTAAATTTGTTCACGTTTCTTTTTGCTGTTCGAAAAATAAATATTTTCAAACCACAAAAGAAGTTTGTTGGAACTTCTACGTATGAAACTAACCGTACCAAATGAACGTAAACAAGTAAAGAACGCATATGTGTGATGCATCTACTCGAAACCACAAAATAATCACATTTTCACTACCTACTAATAAATAGTGGATCATTTGATTATATGTAAATTGTTATTAAATTAACTAGCTGTTACCCACGGGCTCAACCCCGTTTTACTACATTAGTATTAATAAAACTATTGATTGGTTAAGTTAAGATGAAATAAACAAAACAGAATACAAACAAATAATAACAGCTGAGGTATTTTTAACATTAGGTAAATGGAAAGTTCCCTTCCTAAGCAATTACGACCTTAGAGGGCAATTTATGAAATAATGGATGATTTTGCGCAAGGTTTCTCGTCATGACGAACATTTTAAGTATATGGTTAATGGGGGTGTGACTTGTAGTTTTCTCAAAAGTTCATGGGTACTTTTGGCTTTATATATTGATGAGTAGTATCTATCTAAGTCTGTTATTTTATTTACCTGGAATATGCATCTCCATTTAGATTCCTGCAGGAAGCCAGCTTTGCCTCCAACGCCTAAAATTGAACAACAATTAACAGATGTCCACACAAGTCATAATAATAAGAGAAATTGTTTCCATTACATATAAAGATTATTTGTTTTACAAAGAGGAACAACTTCAAGTATGGTTTCAAAATACAATTTTAATTTTATTAAAAACATTAAAATGCTTTATTCTATTTTTATTAATAGAAAACCCAAAATGATTTATTTTATTGTTAGTTTACTTCAAAAAACTCTACTACACCATTAGGTCTAAAGCAAAAATATATTAATCAAGAGGAATAAGGTTATAGTAGGCTAGTTTGCGCAACGATCTCGTAAAGAAAGTGTTAACGAAACAAGAAAATTTAAGGTACAAGTCTTGGCGAGAGCCTAAAAAACTTCTATAAATTTTGTTAAGACTTTTTGCGCGAGTTGCGCACACCACTTTACCTACGATCGTTTTTTAATTAATAATCACTACTCATAAATTTTAAGAGGTTATGTTTTTGTTTATAACCTCCCATTGCCACTGACAGCAATGCAACGAATCATTGTACCAAACACTAATTGCACCAATTGTTAACAATTAAATTGGTAAATAGCTGATTAGTTGAATTTTGAAGCAATACAATTTTATTACCTCTCCCTCAATCCTTGAACCTCATTGGTCCGTTATCCGTGTTGTTAAGTAAAACTATGCTGCTATGTAAGTAAACAATACTATTATGTGAAACTTTTCAATTCTAAGAAACAACTGAACTGAAGTAACGGCTACTTAAAAAACTGGCGTAGGTAAAAATAATTTTTCCAACTCAAATATTAGACAAGTAGGCCTACTAAATTAAAAAAGTATTTGTGATATTTATTTGTAATAATCAGTAAATGGTTGTCCATTAATTAATGGTTTTAAACCTAAAACCTAAGTTCCCACCAATTTCCTTCTCAAATTATGAGTAAATTCAGAATAAAAAACACATTGTTAGTAAGCCAACAATAAAAAAAAAATCAGTAGCACAGTTACATGAGAATATGTTACTTCCAGGCTAATCAAGAAACAACATTCAACGAATTATCTTGTGAGTGTGTGTAATTGATAGTGATATAAAAAAAACTATTCAAACCCTAGATATTAATGGAACATCAATCAGTTATTTATTACAAAGTGGGACTAAACAACATCTGAACATTTTGATGATTTGTACAGATTAAAAAAATAAAACTACCTTGACCTTATTCTTTTAATGTCTGTTTTCAAAAAATCTCCTTAAATAGTCTATTTAGTTTAAAACCGGAACTTGGTAAAATACCAATGAAATTTTGCTTGAAAAGATCTAAGTTTTTAACATGACTTGTTCATAGTTATATATTTCCCCAATAAAATGAAAGAGGAATTTAGAAATCAAGAGATACAGCTTGAACCTATGATGAAGTAATGCTTGAATTTTTAAGAGGGAAATTTCTTTATTATCCAGTTTAATTGGAGTGTTTAGCCAAAGTAGAAATAAAGAAATAAGATAAATGAATCAATAATATAGTTAGTTATACTTTTAACTTTTTACGATATCAAAATTTTAATACCTAGTCATTAAAAGTGACTAAATATGATCCAATTAAAGAATCAAATAAGTGGTACTACTTTTATTTTCAAGAGATCAAAGTTTTTTTTTAAACATTTAATTTACTTTTGGATTAGCAAATTTACTTGTTGGTGAAAAACAAATACCAAAATAAACATTATAACACTTTTTCGCCTATGCAGTAAACATATAGGATTGTAGATTTTTATCATCCACTAAAGTAGAACCACTGAAGTAGAAACCACCGAAGAAGAATGTTTCCCTCTAAGACTCCACTAATATACCAGTGCTTGTACTCATAATGATAGAGGTGCTGCCTTAATCATGCCTCCCATGTTACAAACACTGCAGCTGACTGTTAGAGCGTTAGTTCGTGCAAGTTCAGACATGTACGGACCTGCTAGTTGCTGTGCGTGCGCCGACAGGAAGGTAGACATCAGGAGGGAAAAAGGAAGGCAGTAACTGATGAATTTACTTCAAAACTATTTGTGAATTTAAATACAAAATTGGCTTTTAAAATTTTACCTACACTAATAATATGTTTGGAACAACAATTGTAAATAACGGTAACATCATTAAGAAGTATTTACTTAAACTGAAATTGTTTTGGTAATTATACATGTAATTTAGGCTAACCTTACAATAAAATTAAGGGGTCTACAAGCAAAACCTGACAAATTACATTCCTCGAAGATTGATTTTAAGTATATTATATTTTAAAATATTAACAGCTACAAGGTATGGTACGTTTAGTTAAATGCGAAAACCAAAATTGAAATATATTCCTATTATTTCTAAAGATAAAACTGATCTTGGAAACAAACCCCAACCGTAACGGTGAAATTTAAAACCCAATATCTATCACAACTGCCCAATCTTGAGCCAGCAATTTGGTCACTTGACATGAAGTCTGCTTTTAAAATTAAATGTTTCTGCTAGTAGATCAGATTTGCAATTTGTTTCCATATAATGAAATATTTTGGAGTAATTCTGTTTAAAGTAATCCAACCCATTTTGAATTGTTAAGTACTTCCTGTTCAAAAGCAAAAGGAAACTTTTAAACATCAGTCAAAGACAAATCCTGAGATATATCTAAAAGGTTTTGAAGATGCCAGGTTCAGCTCTTAAACTCCTCAAAAAGAAGTTGAAGGAATTAGTCTATACCTTAAAAAGTGTATATAAACTGAAGTAAGCCAGATCCCATAGAAATAATTTCCATTAACATTAAATCTACAACCAATCTCTTTTCAGAGAATGGAGAGAATGTGTGTTCCTACAGAGAGAAACCTGGATAAAATATCACAAATCATATTCATATTCAACAACAGAAAATTAAATTGTAAAAAAAGGTTTGATGTAGTCACGTAAAATAAACAGGGCTAATGGTGAAAATCTTCTACCTATGTATAAAAATGTAAAAAGATTTCTCAGTGGTTATACAACTACTTTGCAAAAAAAAAGTAAACTTTTTGTCAATTTCTCAATACTGTATTTACATTTACGACTTAGTAAAAATAATTGTGAATGTAGGAGAATTGAGTATTTTTTCTGTTCACTTGTGAAATGGGGAAACAAGAATTACTAAGCTACAACTATTTCTGTCTTATATGAGTGCTTAACACGGGAAAGAAAGGGTTTTAAACGGAGAAAATTTAGAAAATCAGTGCAAAAAACTACTCCAAACGAAGAGAAACAGTATTTAAAAACGGATTATGCATTATAAATGTTTACAATTTATTGCAGATATGTTTACACTGGAGTGAGGATATACAATTCTAATAATAAATAACGATTTTTAACAACCAACAACAGTTATTAGATTATTAACAAACTTAAAATTATTTTTAAAGCACCCGATTCAATCACATTATTTACAAGTGGGCTTAATACTTCTATTAAAGAATTAGAATTACATAACTTAAAACTAGAATAAGCCTATCACATATCAACATTCAATAAATAACTGAGAATGTATTACAGGAACTTTAGGTATCCACTTCAAACTATTGAATATCACAGATAAATTTTGACTCTAGGTAGGTGTTGTTTTACCCTGATTAGTTACCAAAGGAAGACAAATCGATAAGTGAATGGTATTGGTATAGTAGAATCTTTTGGGCTTTAAAAACAACAATTTTTATACTTTCAACGTCCTTTAAAATTGAGTCATTAAAAAGATTTAAATTCAAGAGAATGGAATTAATATATTATATTTCTACCAATGATAAAAAATCTGAATTGGACAACTAAAAATGTATAAATCTCTTATTTTTAAACAGGATTATTGAGTAGGCCTATTGAAAAGTAATAAATAGCAAAAGAAATGACTAGTAAGTATAAATACAGTTTTGTATAATTTAATTTTGTGGACCACACCCACATTCAAATTTAAGAATCATGTTATGTATTACGATTTTATTTGTGGTTTAACAAAATATCATTACTGTGAATATAAATATACATATTTAAAATGTAATACATTTTTGATACCATTTAAAATTACTGCAATATTCCCAGTTATGTTATTTAATGTTTTTCTTTGTCAAAACTAGTCATAAAAATAAATAGAAAATGAATCAAAAATAACTTTCCGGCTTTAAACAATGCCGATGTTTACCAATTTTGCTTGTACAAAAGGGTGGTTTTGTAAAAAAATTTGATGTACATTTTACCGTGTGGTAGTAAATACATATTACAGTTTGACTTCTTCTAATACTGATGTTGAATTTATTGTTTCAAAGAAAAAAACTTGGCTAAGGAACATGTTGAAACATGTTAGTATCATACAAAAAGATTACAACTAATTTAACTTAATCACTCAGAATCAAGAATACTTTAACAGAACCGGTATGGATCACAAACATAACAAATTACGTTGCTGTCCCGAATCCTATACTAATTGCATTAAAATATGGTTTAGACAATTCCATTAAAGCAATATTAAATAATGTTTATTTTCAGGCCAGTAACATTATTTGTTTATGTTTATGATCTGTGTCTGTTCTAATATTCGTGCTCAGAATAAGTAAGTTTACTACTTCATGTTACCTACTTCAGGCCCCTTTGAAGTGGCCTTAAAATACAAAGTTCTAAAAAGTGTTTGTCAACAATTAAAATACCGTGGAAAAGCTAACACGGTATAGCATTCAACAAAGTCTTTTTTGATTCAAACTGTAGAAAAATTATCACAATAAATCATAGTTTTAGTTTTAATTCAAATGTGTTCAAAATTTAAAACACAATCAATAATATTTTTAAATCACTAGATATACAGTTTAAGAAAATCTTAAACATTATCTTGATCCTTGAATCAAAAGAAGACCAAAAACTACCAAACTAAGCTACCGTACCAAATCCAAAACTATTTTATCAATATTAGTATCACAGGATTAATGTTTTATTGTGGTTCAAAAATAAAATTTGAACATCAGAAAAATTCAAAAATAAAACTAACACTCAAAAGTCTAAATGTAAATAGCACCAGTCAAGAAGTGTAAAACGTTTCTACTTTAATACACAAAATATTAGGCCCATTATTCTAAGGCACGACATATTTTTGGACATACCTTACAGCTTAATATTTTACATTTTCAGCAATATCTAAACATATAAATATTATTTTATTTAATGATACTAGATTGCTTGAACACCAATTTTGCACATTGTAGGTCTAACCTTTTGTCTCTAACCTAACCTAACCAACCAATGTCACTGCCTAGGAAAGGTAAAGAGAGGGGGGCGAGGATTTGCGCAGACACATTTGATTCGATCACAGGAGGTACAAAGCCACTTCTCAAGCTAACCAACATAACAAAACAAAAACTGACGTGAGTATACTGCCAACAAAGCAAAATTTTAAAAATGAACTCAAGTAACATTCAGCGTAGCTAAAATAAAATAAATAATATACTATTTACTATCGTATACTGTTGTTTAGAAGTTTAGTAATATAATTGATAAAATTGAAAATATATCATTTAAAAACAGAACTTTGGCCCTGGTCGTACTCAATCTTCTTTTCGTGATCTATCTAATGGGCAATAATAAAATATCCATGAAGAGGCCAAATATATTTCTTTGCTATTTACTACACTAGATCTGTATTTGTTTGAAATGTCCAATTAAAATCGATGACTATTTAGTACTACTACTGCATGAAGAGATTTGAAACAGTTTTATACTTCCAATCAGTAAAATAAACACAAACTATCAACAAAAGAAGTAAGTACTTGAAAAAACCAGCACTACTTTAATTTCTTACTTCCATTGCTCTTTGATTACGCTTAATGAGATTCTAAAAATCCATACGAAAATGTAATTGTTTGGAACCTAAATCTTACACTTCATTTTTTTTAAACCGGCAATGTTTCTGGATAAATATGCTCGGCGGTAACTTTATAGAAATATCTGAAGATATTTTTCCCTAAAAATAACATTGAACTATGGGATAACTAACTGTGGAAAAACTTTAAGTATGACAAATGTTTAGTGTTTTATTAATTTACACACAAAAATGACATTTTGAGAAAATCCCCCAATAAACTATACTTCTAAATCCTAGGTTCTGCTAATCCAAACTTCCCCCAAACACAAATTTTATCAAGGGAAGAGGTAAAATATTGTAAGAACCACTAAATAAGCATCCAATGTCAAGATCACACAATCTTAAATCACACATTGCTAAGAAAACCTGTGTTCTATTGGCTTGAGTTTCTAAACTTATCTTTAAATTTTAAGAAAAAGCATAATGAAAAAAATTGTGGCTGATTGGGTGGTTTTTTTTATTTCCAAAAGAATGGAGTTTGGCTAGCTTTTATAAATTAAAAGTGGAAAACTCAAGTGTTGTATAAGCATTACAGGTTTTCTTTCTGAAACTCTACTAAGAATAAAAATAATTTGGTAGAACCATGCACAAAACAAACTTTTTGAAAAAAAAAAAACACTACTGTAAAATCTAAATAAAATCGGATTAGCAGAACATAAGAAAACTGCAAACCACTACTTTCTACTGTAACCTTATAACTCCAAGTCCTACTTACTCAATAGAAATTGATTAAGAAGGCAAAAATCATTGTAACGGCTACCATGCACTAAAAAGCAAAGTATAGTTGTAAAGAAATTACAAGATCACAAGCTATAATTACCCAACCAACAACAAGATTTGATAGTTATTTGAATTAATTAACTCTATAACTATCAGTTTGTTTTACCATCTAAGTAAAGTTTACTAATTTTAAAAATTACACATTGCTCAGTTAAATTTTAAAATATCATTAAATGTGTGTTCGTTTGGTCGAAATTCAATTATTCAATTTTTCTGTAAATTTTGAAACTATAATGAATCTATAATTCAAAGTAAATTTAAGATTTGTTAAACATATATAAAAAAAACCTTCAGAAATAAGTACAAGAACTTGCGAAAAACTAAAACAATTGAATAAATAAAATCATTGCAAATAACAGAAATTCAAAGGTTAACTCCAACCAAGGCCATACATGAAGAAAACAATCAAATTTTTCATTAGCGCTTGGAACAATAAATGTAAACATTCAACAGTTAAACTTAATAATAGTTTTAACTGTACAATCAGACATAATAGACTGTTCATATGGATCAGTAGCCGACGTTAAGTTATTATTTAATATTAAATGCACTTTAGAGCTTGTTTTAGAATAAAAGAATTGACAGTTCCTAAATATATTTTTAAACAGGATTAAGCAATTAGTAGGTTTGCTCTGTTATAAAGTAAATTTTCCAATTGCTAGAGGCACTTGGCAAAGAAAACCCTTGCTTAAAAACAGAAGAAAAGAATATTAGGAAATAAAGACTCACCCCCACTTTCTTTAAAAGGTCGCCCACAATGTCCATGGTGGTTGCTCCTCTTAGGGGCGTCAGTCGGGCCGGCATATTTGCGCCTGTAACAGAAAAGCTTGTAAGAGTTTGAACATCAACACTGGATGATTCCAAGAATGGAGTCATATGACATAGTAGTCAACAGTGTGACTAAGTTTTTGGTGTGTAGCAGAACCTCAATTTAACTATCAATCTCTATTATCTGTGGTCTCAAAAAGAGTATTTCGCTAATTTTTTTAAAACATTTTTCTTACTCCAGTTTTTTCTCTCTCAATAATATAGAACAAACAGATCAGCATGTTTATACATTAAATAAAATATATCCGTCGCGATCGAACCTGCAGAATAAGGGGATTTCAATTCATCTCATTTGTATCAATCTGTAAATATCTGTAAAAATCACTAACTACCATCATATTTACTTGAGATTTTTAGCTTTAAAGAATCCCCATTTAAACTTTAAAATAAAATTCATTGGTTTTCATGGTCATACTTGCATATATTTTTGTGAAGTCAGAAAGGGTCAACAGTTTTAACAGGCGAAATTGCAGCACATCAGAGCGAATCTTAAGAGTTGTACGGAGCAATTTACGAACACTGAATATATGTTCCTGATTTTGACACGTGTACTCGACAGACTTCAGAGATTGGACATACCGGTAATTCTGATTCTTAACCAAGTTAAGATACTAACTGCTAAAAGCCGAGATTTTATTGTGGTGATTTTGTTTTTTAATCATGGATTATAATAGAGTTGTCATTGTGATGAATGCATACTACACCAAATTAACTAAAACTGTCTAAAACTTTTTAACAGTAAACTGTACGGGATATTACTAATATATTCTGTATCGCTTGTTTCAGTCATCTCAGGTTTTTGTTTTACTAGGGCACAACAGCCTAGGTTTTAGATGGAACATTTCAATGAAAAGTATTAAAGTATTAAGCATTTTTTTTAATTTTATACATACCGGTATAGAAAAGTGTAATTTAAGTTAAAAATGTCTGTAGGATACATCCGAGCACAGGTAACAGTTTTCTCCCTTAACTAACTGAAAATTAACAGTGAAAGAGGCCATCTATGCAGCAACAAATTGTATTTACTCCATGAATTTTCATCTTTAAAATAAAATTTTATCAGCTGAAGTTTATGTAAAGTCGACAATCACAGAAATATGGAAGAGAAGCTTAGAACGGTAAAAATGCACTATTACATCTTCATTTTATTGTATCTAATGGCAACCTCCATAGGTTTAATAATAAATGCAATCGTTATTAGGGTAACTAGTGAGCGTAAAAAGTTAGGTAAAAAGTGGCACTTTGCTGCACACAAGAGAAATGTTTACGCAAGAGCATATGCGGGTGTGGAAAGTTTCTCGAGGGCAGCAAAGGCAGTTTGCACTCGCATTACACATTATATTTTTCCTACAGTTACTATAAAATACTCCCGACTAAGCGAATTTCCATTTGTCTAAATTGATTTTCAATTAAATCTATTTAAATAACATTAGGTTTAACGAGTACCTATGTTTGCTGCTACAAGGAAAAATTTAAAATTTGTGATTTTTAGTAAAATATTAATAGCTTAGTATAAAATAAATATGAAAAATTGCCAAGTTTGATCAAAATATATCCATAATAAAGGAAACTACAACATTTTAGAATATTCTCCATAAGAATTTTCTAAATTTTCTCTGTTACCAATAACCATACAAAAACTTTTAGGTATACTAAATTATTTGTTTTTTTCTAAAAAGGTTTAAAGAGAAATTGGATAATTTTGTGTTTTAAGAGTGAAAAATTAGAAAAACCAATTTTTTACCCATAAAACTTCCCGTAAAACCCTGTTCCCATGGTCCGATCATGCTGGATTGGGAACTCATTCAAGTTTATCCCTTCTTATACCTTTAAACCAAATTTCATCAAAATCGGATAAAAATTACTCGAGTTATCGCGTGCACAGACACATATACAGGGTGTTTTTTTTTAAAAACTTGCATCTTTATTTATGTAAAAACCGCAATAGATAGAAATATGCAGTTTGCGGGAATCATCTATTGACGTAGGGGGCCCAATCGTTTTGAATTCAACGTTACATTCACATTTCCCCCCTTTCCCCCAACTTTATTTTTTTAAATAGCAAGGTACCCCTTGTGACATATCAAATGAAAGAGCATAAAAAAGAAAATGTTTGATGAAAAGAAATTAAAAATCGGTTCATAAATTTGCGAGATATTTCCACCCCCCTCCCCGGAACTTATTTTTTTTTTATAGCAAGGTACCCCTTGTGACATATCAAATGAAAGAGCATGAAAAAAGAAAAGTTTTGGTGAAAAAGATTTTTAAATCGGCTCATGAATCTGTGAGATAATCCCCCCCCCCCTTTTCTCCTACCCATAACATGTTTTTTAATAGCAAGGTTCCCGCCCTTGTGACATATCAAATGAAAAATAAATTTCACCAAACATTTTCTTTTTTCATGCTCTTTCATTTGATATGTCACAAGGGGTACTTTGCTATTAAAAAAAAATTAAGTTCCGGGGAGGAGGGGTGGAAATATCTCGCAAATTTATGAACCGACTTTTAATTTTTTTTCATCAAACATTTTCTTTTTTTATGCTCTTTCATTTGATATGTCACAAGGGGTACCTTGCTATTAAAAAAAAATAAAGTTAGGGGCAGGGGGGAAAGGGGGGGAATGTGAATGTAACGTTGAATTCAAAACGATTGGGCCCCCTACGTCAATAGATGATTCCCGCAAACTGCATATTTCTATCTATTGCGGTTTTTACATAAATAAAGATGCAAGTTTTTAAAAAAACACCCTGTATATAATATAATAATAATATAACATATAAATATAATATAATTTAAATATATATTATTCTTGAGGATTTCTTGATTGAGTTTTAAAAAATAAAACATGAAATGGTGCAAATTTTTGTTTAATACAAACGTTTTCAAGCAAAGAGAAATTAATGAAAATGTAACAATGAACAAAACAAATAAATATGAACTGTTTTCAAATAGTTGAATTTTGAGAACTTATGATTGAGTACAGATCAAAGAAAAATAAAATCAGCCTAAAAGAAAATTAAAATTCAGCTGAGTTGAATCACTTTTTTACTATCTTAAATTTAAACCAGAGGGGAACTTTGTTTTCAGTACCAACTGGTGAGCTAATTCAGAATTTCTTAAGACCAGTTGGTTACATTTAGGGTTTTTGATGTGGGTTTACTTTGTGAAGGGCTTTAAGGGTATAGCAGCCTTCAAAAATGTTTACACGAATTTGATAAATCACATTGTGAGTTTCACAAGTTGATCTACCAACAATCGGATAAACCTTGTTTGTAACTTTGCTATCAAATTCAGAGTACTACTCATAATTTTGCAAATACCACATCGGGGCTTGTGACATGGTTCACAGCCGTGTTTAGAATTGTTTAAAGGCCGAGAATTTTGAGTCTCCCCAACATATTTTTTAAATTTTGTGGCCTTTTAAAAATATAGATACATATATTAAAATTTGAACGAATTGTGTTTTTGGCTTCTGGGGACATCAAAATGAAAAAGTGAATCGGTCCCCGGCCTAGGTCTTACTGTGCCACCTATAGTAATAGCTACTTCCCTGTAGGGAAATTCTCTAACATATAAATAATTAGTCTTTCAAACACTGTACAACACGTTGTTAGGTTAGGTTAAATGCCAACATTGAACAAAATGGGAAACGCTGCACCAGCTGATCGTAGTCGTAATATCTTTAAGTGTTGCCACCTTTTTTTTCAAGCGTACGCCTATTACGTTCCTAATAAAAGCCCGCTGTTTTGTGTTGTTTGGTTGATCTACTGGTGTGCAATAAAAAAACTGTGCGGCAAAAGTAAGCAGATGCAGCAATTAGCAACTTTCTATGCTATAATCAGTGCGAGGAAGGCCACTTTGTCAGGTGACTATATAGGAAAAAAATACTTTCTAAAGACTTTGTGACCATTCGAGAATTATAATGAATGAAAATGTGTGTTGTTGACTAATGTTGTTTGCAGATTAAATAATACATACTTCAACTCCAACAGTTTCATTTCATTACTACCCTAAAACAATGACCGGTTTACTTAAAAGAGAGTAACTTCTCATTTCCCGGGACTCTTTTGCTTCTAATGTTCAAATGTCCTGGGACTCTCATTACACACTTCAAATGTTAAGGTTATCTAACTGTTTTAAACCATTTTTTATTAATTTGTGTTACAAGTTTGGAAAATAGATGTATGAAATCATCTACAGAAGTACTGTAAAAAGATGTTAGTCGAGTGATGAACAATATTTTCTCCATACTATTCTGAACAAAACTGACAATTAAAAAACTATAAGAATCTATTATATCTTCCCACTTTAACAATTCCTACTCATAACTTCTTTGAGACACATAACGTTCTCATTTGTAACCACTCACTGGACCATTAGAATATTAGACTAGGCCTATTTGGTATATAACTTTTTTTGTAAAATTATCTTCAGAAATAAGTTTAAGTGTAGTAATGTTTTAAAGTTAATAAATATTTATTTTTACGAAGTATAGGCTATGACGTTTTCAATGACAAAAATCAGCAAGTTTACAGCAAAATTAATTTTTTTACAGTTAGTACATAATGAAATCTTTGATTAAGCAGACAGCAAACAGCGGACTAAATTTATGCATGGAAAGTCCAAACAGAATAGTGTCTATCATGAAAAATTTATCAGCATCCTAATACTTAAAATTATTTCTTCCCTTTTAAAAAAAAAACTTTTGTTTATGAAATTAATCATGTATCATGTTGGAAATTGCACATGTATTTACCCATTTTGAGATGTAAAGTTTCAAATTTTCTCACATGACACTATTTGGCACTACAGTTTTTAAAATCGCTTGTACGTTTCAATGGTTAAACGCAGTTATTAATTTTAATATCTTTACACATTTTTTCTTCACGTAATCTCATTCGTCATTGCTGTCAAGCAACAATAAATTACTTACAAGCTCTCAAATTTCCTTTGCCAACTTACTCTTACTCCTGTGGCCATTGGA